GCTTTAACATGGGGATGAGATGTGTCTACTTATATCAATAGTCAACGGTTTATTTAAACATATGATGGATAAGTTCAAAGCCCCTATTTAATTACGGTAGCTTAAATATCATTTATCTAAAAGAATTACCAACCTTGCATGGAGGCTTCTCAGTCTCTTCGTCGGACATTGAGTTGAGGCTCTCCAGATCTGAAACATCTGACAAATCTTCCACATGACTCTTCATCAGGACGTTCTGCGGTTTCTCCGGGGGCGTACGAGGGCGCGCCGGGCTTTGACGGGGAGAGCCAAATGACGAGGCTGAAGATATATTACTTCTCCCATCATCGCTCATTGAATCCTTTCTGGTTCTTTGCGGGGGAGGAGAACGGTTGCTCTGAGGGGAGTTGCTCGGAGTTCTTCTCCCTTTGAATCTGGTGGGACTAGAAACATTCGTGGGAGAACTCTGAGATCTAGGACTCACCGAGCGGTTTCGGTAGGGAGAAGGAGAGCGAATAGAATTTGAATTGGGGCTGGGAGATCGAATTCCACTGCTGCGAGGAGCGGGAGATTGGGGTGGACTCTTCCTTGAATGAGGGGAACTTGGAGATGTAGGACTAGGACTCCTAGGGTAGTTTGTAGTTGGGCTCCTCGGACCACGCTCGTGATCACTTGGTGGGGAGCGGTTTGCAAACTGTGGACTAGGACTTCTCGGACTTTTAGGACTTCTGGGATGGAAGGAGTCGGGTGACCGAGGAGGCCGGGAACCATTTTGAGAGTCGGGGGATCTTGCAGGACTACCATAGCTGGCGCTGTCATCAGGCGACTGTATAGGAGACGGAGTACCTGGTTTGTTCTCCGGGTCAGGAGACGCTGGCGGAGATTCAAAGTGAGTTCCTTGCGGTGATTCAGGAGGAGATTCTACAAGTCAACCAAACTATATTGTAATCACAAGCTCAAAATAAAAGGGTACAAAACTAAGAGGATTGATAACCCTACTTATATTAAAAGATATATCAAGGTCTTGTCTACACAATCTGTTCATAAAAATCAAACAATATGAAAATAGACCTGCAATAAAAATGCATTTAACTTAAGTAGCTAGCCTATTCCAATTCATAATAGGGCATAGGCTAAAAACTGAAATAGGTCTAAGCCTACTAATTTTAGATTTTTAGTTACTTTTATTATATGTAGTCTATAACCGGTACCCTACAAATTTTCCTCAACCAGATTAATTGTCATACTCCAATTAAAAACCAATGCAAAATAGAAGTCGGAATGGATTGAAAAATACCGATAGGTCTAATTGCAACTACCAGAAAATCTAAATCGTACAAAGGATTAGCAGCCACAAGTGGCCCGAAAATGCTACCTATACTGCGAGCAGCTCTGGAGATATTCTCCTCGTCAGAAACATCACTGTTGTCTTCAACGTTAGGTCGGACTGGTATCGGCTCTTGTTTGCCCTGGTTCCTCCCTCTATAGTGCTCCTCATCCAACGAACTGTCCGAGTCCATGAGTCAGACCTGCGGGGAAATATGCTTCCTGATAAAAATCTGATCGATGCTAACTGTCATCTGGTTATATTTCACCTATCACTAGAAAGAAGCACAAGATATAATAAGTTAAATCTACAATACATTAGGTGACTTTCTGTCTACAGAAGGAAATTATTCTATAGGCCTAATGAATTATTTAACTTATCAAGTAGGCTACATTGTACAAAATGTGTTGTTCATAAAAATAACCTCATATGACCTAATGAAGTCACAAATTAAATAAGGAACAACCTAAACTTACCATCCTTACATGCCTTTTCTGAAATCAAAAGGAGTTTGCTAAAAGTTAAAAGTTTGGATGGATTAGCCTACATTTAGTTAGAACAGATTTGAACTGAATTTGTAGACGATTGCACCACGTGTTTTAAGTTTAGGCCTTTTCCCCTTTAATATACCCTTTTCAAATGTAAAACGTTTGAACAGGGTAAACAAGGAGGACGGATGACTTATAGGGCCTAGGTACAGGTGGAATGAATGGTGAAGTAGGCCTACAGCAGATTTTTTACAACCATAGGTCAAGCAACTGGAAGTTACAACTTTATTAAAACTAACTCTGATTAGTCAATTTGAAAGCTTAATATGCAGTGGAAAGCTACTACTATATATTTTTTAACTAAACCTTGCCTACAGGTATGAGTGTGGTTTTTTAAGTTTTCCGTTTTGCTTTTTCTCTGCTTTGTTAATTTTTATATTTTTTTTCTCCGCTGCATGTTTTAATACAGTTTTGTTTTGCAGTTTTATTTATTTACCCTATTTTGCATGGTGTGCTCTTTGGACATTTTTATGTGCTCTTTGGACATTTTGTTTTGTGAATCAAGAGGAAATGCATCCTTGTTTTGTTATTTTAGTTTAGTGTTAGTGACTTGGCTAATTGTTAAAAACCGAACGGCTCAATAAACCTTGAATCTTGAAAGCTACAATAAGGGGGATGTATACTAACCCCAGATCAAGGGGGAAATGTAGCCTACACCCCAAACGTCATTTTGCAAAAAAATTCTCAAAAACACAAAATTCATAATTATTTTTAACAAAATAAAAAACCACTTATACAAAACATTCCAAAGAAAAAGCTTAACTTAGCAAATTTGATTTGTATAGCACGTAGGTTGGCTAACATACATGCGGTTTTTTATCTGTGGTCAGAGTTGTATACCAAGTAGGAACTTATGATCTGAGGCGTACACATACCCACTTGACCATACAGTTAGTTGTTATTTCTTGCCTTTTAAGAATTCGGCAGCCATTTTGATATTTTCTTCCTGTACAATACCAAGCACCTCCCTACTTACTTACCTACACCCAGTTAACTTACTTACCATTAAGGATACCTAGGCCTAGGTGACGTGTAATTAACTTGGCACAATCTCTTAATATAGGCCTAAGTTATACATCATTACTAATCCTGAATTAACTTAAGAATATACTTGACCAAAACAAAAGCCAATAGGCTAAAAAGCAAGGCCTAGGCCTCCTAAAGTTAAACCCAATAAGTTAACTTAAGTTAATGTCTTGAGTGAAACATTTGAATCCAGCTTAACATAGACAAATTCTTGGTTCTGTCTTCTTTATTTGAATTATTCTGTTATATCGCTCTCTTACCTGGGGTTCCAAGAAAAGCCTGAACAGTGGAACAAGTTGTACACTGGTACACTTATTTCCCTAAAGTCTTTAAACTGAAACATTTTTCGACTACGACTCGCGAAAACTTGAACAAACAAACTTTGAAGGAATACTAAACTTTTATCACAACACAAATCAATAAAAACTGGAGTTCACTTTGCTGAAAACAAAAATTAATTATTGACAAGAAGGATAATGCTCTCCTCGTCACACAAAGAGATTCACTCCGACAAGGCCGCCGGTTTAAAACATCGTTGTCTTGAGCAAATTGTCGAGCTTTCTTACCTTTTCCTAACAATTGATGACTGGATATCGTAGATAAATAATAAATATGTCTTCTTAATTTCTGTAAGAAGAAATTTATGAGTAGAGCTTTAAAATGCAAGATAATGGAGGTGGCAACAAGGTGAGATGTTGCAAAACTCTGCAGACCAATAACAACAAAATGGCGTTTGTGTGGTGCTTGCTTTGCTTGATGTGAAGGAAGAAGAACAAAACTGAACAGACTAAAGAAAGGCTGTGGCTAAGATACAAGGATACCAACCTTTAACTAATTAATTTTCTCAGTTATCTATATGATAACTGAGAAAATTAAGGTTGTAGCATGTTGTAGGTTAGGGTGTAGGTAAGTATTTATATAATACTCAACTTAAGTTTCAGTCAAATTAGGATATTAGCATAGATTAACAGTTATTGACAAAATTGGAAATTTACAAAACGTGAATATTTACTTCCGCCTATATAAGGTATAGACCGTGTAACCTGATAGTTTTTTAATCATTAACAAAATCAATTGACTTAAGAACTAATGAACTCAATGAACTTCAAGAGATGATTTGTTTTCGTGGTAATAAACCACTGATCTATAATTTTTATAACTAATACCCCCGCCGCAGCAAACCTGCCGTCTAAGCGAATTTCCATTTGGCCGAATTGATTTTCAATTGATCTATTTAAATAACATTATTAGGTTTAACGAGTACCTAGGTTTGCTGCTACAAGGAAACTAATAAAGTAGTGTGTTTATAGTAAAATATTGATAGCTTACTATAAAATAAATAAATTTGCCAAGTTTGATCAAAATATATCCATAAACAAGCAAACTACAACATTTTACAATATTCTCCATAAGAATAACATGGGAATTTTAAATTTCCCATTTTTTTAGTTTTCTCCGTAACCAATAACCGTACAAAAACACTTTGATATACTGAATTGTTTGTTTTTTAAGCTCTTTAAGAAGGTTTAGAGAAAAATTGGGAAATTTTGTGTTTTGAGGGTAAAAAGTGAGAAAAACCTATTTTTACCCCATAAAACCCCCCATAAAACCCTGTTCCCATGGTCCGATCATGCTGGATCGCGAACTCATTCAAGTTTATCCCGCCTTACACCTTCAAACCAAATTTCATCAAAATCGGATAAAAATTACTCAAGTTATCGTGTTCAAGGACATATATATATATATATATATATATATATATATATATAAATCTATATATATATATATACCTATATCTATATATACATATATAAAAATTTGAACGAATGGTGTTTTTGGCCTCTGGGGACATTAAAATGAAAAAGTAAATCGGTCCCGGGCCTAAGTCTTACCATGAGACCTACGTTAATAGCTACTTCCCTATAGGGAAATTCGCTAAAAACTAGCCAAATTAGCGATCAAGATTAAGTTTGACAGCCTGGGACTGGACCACGGCCACCTATACGGCCAATGTCGATTGGTACGTGATTGGTGACTGGACTGGACTGGACTTGGACTGGACTGTTGACTGTTCCACTGTTCCACTTCCACACAGTATTTCAAAACTGAAACTGTGTGTGTGTCAGTGTCTTGTCAAAATTTGTTATCATTTATCAAATTATCACAGGTTAGATGTATACTGAACTTTATATGTTATATCCTACATTACAAAATTTAACTAACTTAGTATTCTGTTATGTGTTTTAAGTACAGTTATTACTGTTACAGGATTTAACTTAAGTTTGATAGTAATACTACCATTACAGTAAACTGTTTTTAGGTTAGCTTTAAAGACAGAATTTAATCGCCGAAGGTAATGTCGAAAATTTGTAATATTTGTCTTGTGCCCATTAATTTATTACAGTGCAGCAGATCTTTTATGCTATCGAAGAATGCTTCAAGAGTGGTTATTTCTTCGAGAAGATCAGAAAACGGGGCAATACAATTCACTAAGGTTGACAAGTGTCATATACAATCATTTTCTAGTCATAACATTGCATTGAATCATAGTAGTAACTTTTTAAAACAGAAAATTGATGAATTGGTTGGAAAGTATGAAGAAATTACTGGTATGGATGAGGTTAGAATAGCCCAAAATAGAGTTATCGAAGCACAGGACAAGTTTGTACTGGCTCAAGAAAAGAGGAGAGAATTGGTAAAGCAGCTGACCGATATTCAGAATAAACTCAAAGAGGTGCATGCAGAGTTGGATGCTTCAACACGAGGAGAAGAGAGGTAGGCAACTGTAATTTCTAACTATATCAATTATAAAATGATACTGTCATTAACGACACCTAACTAACCAAACTTGCTGGTAATAAAAAACCGAATGCATGTTTACTAATCGAATCGATAGTTTCAATCGATATTAACGTAGCCCAGTTAGGAAACTGTATCCAAAATAGTTTTAAAACTATCTTCTTTTGTGTAGGCCTAATTCAAATGTTGCTTGTTCAGCAACTAGTTTCTACTTGTCATGAAGTCATCTTCAAAAGATGTCACAATCGCTTCATCAGATGTCGTCAATTCACATACAGTAGCCTCCATTAAACATATTGACTACATTAAAAACGTAGACAGGCACACACGAACATGAACTTTAATCAAAACGACAAACCAGTAAACTTTAAAAAATGATTAAATGGTAGCCTATTGGGAAATGATGTGGCACAACCAGATGTAGTCAAGAAAGAAAAGAAAATCAACCGCATACACTTCACTTGAGTATTGTCATTGTTAAATCTAAAGTGAAGAGTAGTTCTATGTTGTTCGTCCCTGAATCTTGCTCCTTTAGTTTAAGAACTGACATCTTAGGCCTATAACATTTTTAGCCTCATTTAATTTATGGGGTCAAATCAATTTTTTAAGCTAGGTACCTACCTACTTAAGATTTTTGGGATTATGAAACAAAAGGATTCCTAAGATGGTTTTGGCCAGTAAGCTAGCTGCTTGATTTATGTATGATAGGTTATCCAAACTGAAACCTACTAGGAGCTATGCTCCTCCCTTGAATCTATTAAGTGTTATGAATTAAATTAATTGTTTTAATAAGCTAGCCTTTACAGTTCTATTTTAAAAACCTGCCCTTAACATGCATGTGATTTTAGGTACTTGAACCTCATAACAAAAGAACACCATTTACTAAAAGAAGAGAGGAGATTAAATACAGAGTTTAATTTAAGTGAGAGAGAAGAGAGAGAATGTTTTACGTTTTTATCATCTGCTGTCAAAGAAAGCCACGAGAAGGAGCGAGCCCAAGCAGAGAGAACCAAGTATTGGTCTGTGATTGGCTCCATTGTGGGCACAGTCATTGGGGTTGTCGGATCCTCAATAAATAACGAGTTCAAGATGAGGGAACTACGTAAGCTGGTACGTAAAATACATTGTTAAGATTGCAAAATTTACAACAATATCTTGAGGTGAAACCGTTTATAATCGGTTTTACTGCTCTAAGGATGGCCATACAATGCTAACTTATTCAAAAATTGTATTGAGTTACATTTTTTTTTTTTTTTACCAGGTTTACTGGATTAACTGCTTCAGTTTTTGTGTTTTTTTTTATAGACAATAGACAATAGACAAAGCTTTATTGTACATCACGCCTGATACAATAATTACAAAAGTAATTCCCAAGCTGGTACATGGTCAATTTATATCTAGGTTCCTTAATCTAATTATACCCTGACAAGAGTAAAAACTATTACAATTTATCTTTAAAAAACGTCTGAATTTTGTAATACGCTTTTTGGCTCAAAGTCTCTTTCAGTTTATATGTAAAATTTGGTTTTGATAAAGTTCTGTATGAATTAGGTAAATGATTGTAGATTTTTAATCCCATGTAAAGAGGCCCAGTTTCAAATTTTGTGTGCGAATGTTTGGGATATTGAAAAGTTTTGTTATTATTTCTCGTTTGATAGTTATGATTTATTTTATATTTTTCAAAACAGAAGGAATTTGCATGAACATACTTTGCTATTTCAAATATATAAAGAGAAGGTAATGTTAAAATGGAATGTTTTTTGAAAAAAGGTTTACAGCTGTTTTTAGACTTCTGGTGAAAAATAGTTCTGAGAATTGACTTTTGGCAAGTGAACACTTTCTTGGCCTCTGCAGAGTTACCCCATAGAGTGACGCCATAAGCCAGCAAAGAATGAACATACGCATGATATACTGTCAAGCAGACTTCTAGCGGCGTGACCTTGGATAGTACACTTAGTGAATACCTTGTTGACCTTAATTTTTTATTTAGATGATGAATGTGATCAGACCAACTTAATTTTGAGTCTAAATTTAGACCTAAAAACTTAACAATTTTTGTATTACTGATTGTGGTGTCTGTAACTCTGTTTCTGAGTTTAAATTGAAGAATGTTAGTTTTACATTCATTTAATTTCAGGCCATGGCTCTCAAACCATTCATTGATTTTTTTAATTGTGCTGTCAAAAGTTAATTTAAGTTCACTTAGTGTTTTTCTTTTTAAAAGAGCAGTTGTGTCATCAGCATACAAAGTGAAAGCACAGGAATTTGTGGAAAGGCAATTAGGCAAGTCATTAATAAATATAATAAATAATAAAGGCCCAAGTATGGAACCTTGGGGAACACCATATGTAACGCTGGCCCAGTCGAGTTTATCGAGTATAGTTACTGTTTAACAACTTATTTTTGCCGTAAAAATGCAATCAATGTAATTTGAATAGAGTACATGAACAGTGTATTTCAACTTGGTTATGAACAAGATTTTTCACTAACATTCTATTAGTTTAGGTTCTTCACTAAATAGGCTAAATGATTTGATTAAAAAAATAGCTTGCATTCTAATTGTTGGGCAAAATTGCATAGGTTCATCTATATTAATAACTTTTAGAACTATTACCTGTCAATTTGATGCGGAATGGTTTACTAGAGCACACATTTTTTAGTTCTTTGATCCTGTAGTGTTGAATTTATCACTAAACTCAGTAAAAGACTACAGTAATTTAAGCCTAAATTGTTTTTTAGGTTGTCCAGACAGTATCACACACCCAAAGATCATCGGAAGTTGATGAAATGGCTGCAAATATTTTAACGAGGCATGAAGAACAGCTGTCCCAAATTGTAATGGAAATAAAAAATATAAGCAAAGGTAATTTATGATTTTTTTTTATATTTAGGCCTAAGTAAAAAAAAATATTAAATCTTACTGTATTACTTTATTATAGATGGTAGCCTCCGGATTGCCAAATAATATTAAAAAACGTTCAAATACCTCCTATTAGGCAATCCATTGAATTGCAGTCGCAACTAGTTTCAACTTCTATGTGGAGCCATCATCAGGTGCTACAAGTAATGTTATCTTTCTTCATATGAAGAGCAAATATGTTTAACACGTAAAAAATAAATATTTACACACAATACGCACATGGAAATGAAACATTTATGGTAACTGATCAGTTATGACAACAGACGCTAACCCGGCGGAGTTTGAGTCCAGATTTTGTTCTATATTAAGCTGTACTTAATAATTTTATCTGATGATCACAACAGACAAGCATCCATACTGCCTGTTGAAATTTAATTGATCGATTGGCAGGATTTCTGGAGGGTAGGATGAGTTTAATTGTTCCTTTTATAAATTGTGTTTAAATGTGATTTTCTCTTCTATTTACTTCCTGAAGATGTCCAATTGAGGGAAAGAATTTAATTTTATGTCTAACATTTATAGTATATTACAACTACTCAAGAGAAAATGTTTAACAACTCTATTTTTATTCTCACAGAGAGAGGAAATTCATTTTCAAGACTTCTTCACCATGTCGACCATTCAAGTGGTGACGATACACTGGCCCATGTGCAGGTAAACTGATTGCCATAAACATCTATAAATTATTTCCAGTGTTATTTGTTGAAAAACTATGGGTTAAACATATTATTTTGTAGATTACTAACCTTTTGGAACAGTTAGTCAGAGTTTTACAATATTTTTAAGTCTAGTGTTGGATGTGTTGATGTCTATCTTAAAGATATTTTGAAACTACCACGATAAAAAAAAGAATGATATACTTTAAAATAGTCGCTTGTCCTCCAGGACAAGATTTTCAGGCAAACTAGCTGAACTTTTTTCCTTTTCCAAACGTTCCTAAATAGCCAAATGGCTTTCTTTTGGAGTTTAATTTTATATTAGGCGCAACATTGTAAAAATTGCTGGGAACTGGTATATCGCTGGGTCGCGGCAAATTCTAGTCACAGCCAGTCAGCTAGATGTGTGGCTTGTGTAAACCTGGCCCAAAACCTAAAACTAATAAATTTAATGCTTAAACCTTTGATGATTTTTTTTAACCCCATCAATAATTCCGAAACTGATATAAAGTCTAAAACACATTATTTTTTACAGGTACTTTTAGAGCAACAGCGACAAGAGACGAGGATTGCGATGACTATTGCCGTAGTTGTTATACCAATTGTTGTGTTTTTTGTCAATAAGATATTATGAGTTTATATTTGTGTGGAATCGTAAGACCATCTTGTATTTTATTATAGAATTTGTACAGCTAAAAAATTGTGATAAATACTGCTTTTATTTAGATTTGACCCCATTGTGGTTTAAAGTGTTTAAACCAATACAGCTGTCCCTCATACAGATTTTTGCTGCTTTGAAATATTTTTGTGTGTGGCATTTTGCATACTAGTTAAAACACTGCTTACCATCCAATGCAATTGTTAATTCACAGGCACAACTGATGTTTTTGACTTGACCCCCTACACACAATGGTAATCTCAGGAACAACCGCACCAATGAATTAACAATTATACTTTTATTTTAGCAAATCCACTTAATTTATGAGGGTTTTGGTAATGTGCTTGTTTTTGTATCTTGCTCATTAAAATATTATCCACAGTTTTTTTTATTTTTTTAATAAAATGCTAACCCCTAATAATTGCCTCAGATTATTGGAATGTGACAAAATATTTCGCTAAACGCAATAACAGATTTAGTTGCTGAAACAACTTTTCAATTTTATCTGTACTCTTAATTCATTAATCACTACTGGGCTGCATTTTACTGGTGAATTACTAGGTAAGTCTTTTCCTTTCTGTTTTATTTTTTATTATAAGTTTCTCCAATTATTGTTCTTTTTTAAATAATACTTTTTTATTATATTTTCCTGCTGTGTATTGGAGTCTTTGATTAAAATAGAATAGATTATTACAAAATGCCTTATTATTTGATTGCTACCTAATTATTTAGAGCAAAAATTTTTGAATTAATGAAATCACAGCTTAGTTAATGACTATGATCTGCTGGATTTTTAGCAAGGACTATTAAAAGCGACGATCAAGGACATCTTAGTCACACTAAGTTCAAAATCAAACAGGAGTCACATGAATGCTCTATCGGTGGAAATTTGTTTCTTAATACTTTACTTTGGATTTATCACACAGGAATGGCAGCACTGTAAAATGTGTTTTTACACTACAGGTTTGGAAAAACCTAATAGCCTGTCAATGTAAAAAAATATAATACAACATTTAATACTACACAGCAGAAATTGCTTCTTGTTCTTGTGTTAAGCCTAATTTATGACAAGTCCACTCAAAGTGGGGAGGTAAAGGGGCCGAGAGATGTAGAGGTTTTCCACGCAACATTCTGGGCAACACCATTTCTGACAGGTGAATGTGCACTGGTATGATTCCTGCGTTGCTACGGTCTACTTGCAACATGCTGTAAACCTCTTCAGGTAACACCTGAAACAAATAAATTAGCTTTTCAAAAATATCTGACAAAATAATAGTAGGCCTTGGTGCCTTGTGACAAAAACATTCTATTTTATAGATGATCAATTGAGTTACAAAAATTTCAACACAAAACCAATAAAATCACATGGGTGTGCCTGCATGGGAATGCCACCTTAATAGTCCTTGGAGGCTAGCGGCCATCTTACATAATTTCTAACAGCTGCTTAACAGTTATTTATCGTTCAAAAATATTTTTTCAGACACCAAAGTGATTATAATGTAAATATCTAGTAAATTGTGACATTAGAAATGTTCTTTGTAGTACTGAATTGTTCTCCAAGGGAATCCATGGAAGCTAGCGTCCATTTTGGATTTGCTTGCCTAATGAGCAACGTCAATTTCGTTTATATCAAACAGCCGCTGAAGAGTTATTTACAATCTCAAAATATTTTTTCAAACACCAGAGTGAATTTTAATATCTAGTAAACTGTTGGATTAGAAATTAATTTTCTTTATAGTTTTTTAATTGTTTTTTGAGTTAGAACGTCGAGGCTTCAAGGTCTCTTAAAATATAGCCTACTTAGGGGATAGACCTACTTAAAAGTTAACTGAAAAATCTAAGTTAGTAACCAGTTTCCTTTCGTGGGATGAAAATTGAATTTGAAAAACATGTCACAATACACTCTAAAAACTTCACTCCAAACCTTTGAATGTTGATACAACTAGGCATTCCATCTCCATGTTAAATTTGTCACCCGATTTTTTATAAAAATTGTCGTAGTTGATGTGAGCCACCAACAGATTGTGCTGATCTAAATTACTAATTTCTGTCGAAAACACAAATGTTTTTACCAAGTCAAACTAATGGAATAATTATTGTGATGTTTGTTGGGACCTATCAAGGTGGTCAGCAACAAAAAAATGAAATAGAAAATAGAAATTTAGACACTAACATATTCTGTGGCTCACACATACGTGAGATTGTAATACAAAATTGGCGACAGCTGGTCCATATTCCATCTATAGGTCCATATTCCATCTATATAGATGGGATGTCTTCTTCAGAATAGTCGTTGTCTGAACAGAACACACACTGTGAAAGTCTTATGAAGGTGAATGGCAGGACTTTGCAATACCTGAGGCCTCAGCGCAGCGTCACTAAAGTGGTGTGTGGAGGTAGCGATTCCCATCAGAGTCTGGACTCGACCTCCGTACAAGTTGTCGCCTAAAACTGGAGCCAGTAAGTGATCGGCAGCAAACACTCTGAGAGCGTTGTATGCGCGAAGGTCCACGCAGATCTGCAACAGGATGAGGAATACGCTTAACAATCGACCTCTTCCGATATCTGTTGCTGGATTTATCTTTCACTGATTACAGCACCAAGACATTAGTGGAAAGTACTTAAGCTAGTAAACAAACCGGTAAGTTTTAATTATCAAAGTCAGACGTTTCTCATACATTAGATCAAAGTTGTCATGCTGACTGGTATCTTGTCTTTACTGGGGGGATTTTTACAAGAGGGATCACATGAGGAAGAACTTCAACTTTTTTAAGGAAATAATAATGTGTGTGTGTTGTGGCTGTACAGGGAATCGAACCCGTCCCTTCTGCTGTGATCAAAGTTGTCATGCCGACTGGTACCTTGTCTTTGCTGGGGGGACTTTTACAAGAAGGATCACATATGGGGAAGAACTTTAACTTTTTAGGGAAATAAACCCGTATGTGTTGTGGCTGTACAGGGAATCGATCCTGTCCCTTCTGCTGCGAAGTCCAAGATGCTGACAACTAGGCTAGCAATTGGTTGGCTAGATTTTGCCAGTCTGTCAGTTGGAGATTAAAAGATAATGTTAACAAAAGAAAACTGTTGTTTACTGCAGCAAATTCTATCGTCTTAATTTAAGGTTCCAATAATCTTATACTTGCTCCTACTTTAACATGGGTTATTATTATTACCACAACAAACTTGGTGTCAATCGCCCCTTCAGGATTCGATCATGTCAGGACACCTGCTCCAATTATGGCTTTCTGTAACGAAGCCGAAAATTCAGCTCCTAGTCATATGTTTAGGTATGTGACACGGTCAAACCCTGAACACAAAGTTTGTAGTGGTAGTTCTATATAATGGGAAGCGATGGTCTACTTGATTAGTGTATCAATAGTCAATGGTGACGTACTCACCTTAACAAGACTTGTCAAATTGTTAAACCCATGTTGAATCGTCTCATGGTGAAACGTGCCCATCCGAATCTTGCCATCTTTTACAGCATTGTTTGAAAATTCCTGCAGTAAGACAGGCTGGGAAAAGTATATACGGATCAATAAAAATGTGATTTATGAATTACAATACATTTACAAAATATACTGGTACTTTTTGAGCCGATCATACATTAGGAACAATTTTTTTTAAACTAATCTGAACTTAGTAAGTACTTAAGTACATAGTAAACTGTTAAAAAATATTTCAATGATGTAGCCATTTAACGGTTTTCATAAGAATTTGGGCATGAAAATATAAAAGTTGGTTAGAAACACAATTCCAAGGAAAAACATTACGACTAAAATCTACCAACTAATTTGTTTCAACAATTAATATTTGGCTAATGGAGTAAACATAAATTTTGTTATGCTCACCTTTTTTCCAATATTTTCTTTAAATTCAAGCTTTAATCCAAGTCTAACTACACCTGAAGAATGCCTTGGAACCCCGACAACAACAGCTGTATATTTATCTTTCCCAGTTGGTGCGTGAGCATGGACAACATTGACTTTATCCACCAACTCTGGGTTTGTAGTAAGGATCGCAACTCCACTGACGTACCTAAAATTACAATTATTGTGGTTTAGCAAAAATAGTAGAGAAGGACCTCAATAACTCAAATTCCTTAATATCTCAAATGTTTACATACCCATGGATAACAATGTTAAAAATAAAGGTTTTATATATTTAACCCCAAAACTCAAATTTTAACAGTTTTTGGTCAGTAATACCAATTAATACAAAACTTGTAATAAGCGCAATGTCTATATTAAAAATTCAGTCTGGGAATACCTATTTCAATTTCGGATAGTTGCCGCGGCGACCGCTAGGTATTGAAGGCGCTACTATCGCGAGCTTGCGGCCAAGTCAACTGAGAGAGTGAGACAAAGAATAGGCATAGGGAGAGAGAGATAGAGTAGCGCGGCGGCCACCCAAAGCTCATTTCCGCAGCAAAATTCGAGTCTGATTATTCATCATAAGCATTTCACTTCTTATAAGGTTTGTATTTGTTGGTGGTAATACTCCAACCTCTTTATCTCAAATTTTTCTGTTATCAAACATCAATAACTCGAAGTTAACCTTTATGTCGAAGTTTACACAGTATGCCTCAATGACTCAAATTTTTGCCTTACAGTACAAGTCAGCTGTATTTTGACTCCTGTCGAGACATGAAAATCCAACTTCCTTTGTTTGGTAATGTAGTCCGCTTGTAGTCTGCCAGGTAATGAGATTAGGTATTTTGTGCGCGTTTTTCATGCTTGGACAGAGGGATCATAAAAGATACTACTGTATGGTTTATGAATTGTTTCCCTTTCAGTTTCCAATTTAAAATTTGGTCTAGCTTTCTATGGAAATAAAAGGAAATCAGTAGCTTTTTTCAATTCTAAAACTGACAACTACATAGCAGTAGTAGGCAGAAGTGTATAAAAATCAAACATCGTACTTACTTCCCTGGTACCCTAGAAATATATAGTTTGTTGTAGCCAAAGTGATTTTTAATGTAAGGCAAACAATCGACAAGACTTAAACTGTCACTAACAATTCCACTTGTGTAGTATTGATTATTTATAAAGTCCTTTGATTGTTTGTTAGGCTTTTTAAATACTTTTTCTTCTGGTTTCATATTTTTTTCTTTTTGAATTTGAGCTGCATTTCCACTTCTGGAAAAGCTAATTCCGTAAGGTTTGTTAAGCACAAGTAAACCTGAAAAAGATACAAAATATGATAAAAATTTACAATATTCTTCCACAGTCACTCACCAATATTACAATCTTGGTCTTAGGGGTCAGACCATGTCTTAGTTATAAGCATTTAGTTTAGTAGTTGAGTTCTGTGATGCGGTCAACCCCATGCAGTATTTGTATTGTTAAATATATTCATGTTAAATACAACATGACATTGGTTAAATGAATACTTTAGTTTGATTTCCTGCTACCAGCAGCACTAGGCTAAGTATTGTTATTGAATTTCAAAAGCTTACAATAAAGAAATATCCTCAGCTATTCCAAATCGTAAGAGGATATATTTTTTGAAGATAAGAAATTTATAGGAACTAGGCTTATTTATCTCTATATAAAAAAAAACATGGGAGACAAAGTGTATTTTAGATACATTATGCCTTTGGTAAGGATGCAAAACACAAACCATGCCGAAGGTGTGACTTAGGACACTAACATGGTTCGAGCACTAACTTAGACATTAACTTATTTTGCTTTCTGCGCTTGTTGAATAGGCCTACAGATTAAATCAAACTTAAATTCTAAGTTATATTGAAAACTGAAAGGATAAAATGTACTGTTACAAACAATTTACTACGAACCATTGTCATTATAAATAACTGTTCCAATTAAATGTTGAGATAATTCTATTGCATTTTTCCAAGGCACTAGGTTTCTGTACTGATGAATGTTGCGACTAGACTTTGGCCCTGCTGTTAATAAGCCTAATATGAAACTGTATTTTGTAGTTTTTAAAGGGTTTAGCTGACACCCCATAAGTTTAAAAGGAAAGCTCATTATAACTAAAAAATACTATGAACTTGACACATAAAACTTTTATTGCATTTTGAATTAAATATTTTCAGTGTTATCTTTTGAGAGCCTTAGAAGTAAACAGGAACACAGTAGCATAAAGTAAAACAAACTACGACTAACTCAATTATATAAAATTCACGAATAAACGTTATTCACCAACACTAAGAGTCACTTAGTAGCCTAAAAAGGCCAGAAACGCAATTCATAAATTAATTATTAAAGTTTATTACTACAGTATATAGGTTTAGGTTATAAAACATAAACATTGGTTTGGCCAGCACTCAGCAGACGACAGCAGCCAACAGAACTGAGAACTGAGAACAGCCAAGCAAAGACAGCTGCTATCTTTGTTTCTCCCTTGTTTGCTTTGTTAGCAGGTTCAACTAGTTGTCATGTAGCTTATTGTCCGTGGTACTAGGTCTTTATAAATTATTATTACTACAGGCTTTATGCATAGATAAAACGAGGAGTATGTTTTATCTATGATCAAACAAACTCCCTGAGTAAATTTATCATCCTTATGGAACAGCTGAAGCCAATTCCGACTATTGAGGACAACAATGCTTTTAGGCTTGAACTATTTACTGTAGAAGAGGTGTATGCAGCCATCAACAGTCTTAACAATAGCTCTTGTTTAGATATTTACGGAATTAATGTCCCCATCTTGAAGTTAGCTTCTAGTTACATAAGTGAAGTTTTGACATACCTATTTAATCTCTGTATAACACAAGGTTGCTACCCAAACAAGTTCAAGATTTCTAAGGTTATACCAGTCCATAAAAAGGGGCCTAAAAATGTTATTGCTAACTATAGGCCTATATCTATTATCCCTGCAGTGTCGAAGGTCTTGGAACATCTCGTACATCGTAGATTTTCTCAGTATCTTGAGGATAGTAACCTTTTAGCAAGTAGTCAGTTTGGCTTTAGGCCGAAACACAGCACTGTCCAAGCAACCCAGGCACTGATATCAAATTGCTTTCAAAGTTTAGAGGCCAAAAGTGGCATAGTGTTTAGATCGTACGACATGTCTAAGGCCTTTGACACAGTGGCTCATGATCTCCTTGTGGATAAGCTTTCTTGCTATAACCTTGATGCAGTTTTGGTTAAGTTCTTTCAATCTTATCTAAGTGACAGATGGCAAAAAGTCTATCTAAACGGCACTTATTCTAGCCCTGTTCGAGTGCCCCACGGAGTGCCCCAAGGCTCTATATTGGGCCCTACCCTGTTTATACTGTATATAAATGACTTACCTTGTAATATTAATGACTTATCTGTAAAAAGCTTTCTTTTTGCTGATGACTTGGCCTTGTGTGTACGGGGTAACTCTTTGAATGACGTTACAGATACATTGGATACAAAATCTGCTGTTATTAATGACTGGTGTAATGCAAACAAGTTATGTCTTAATGCTGATAAGACTCAAGACCTAACTATTAGTCTTAGCAGTAATGGTAATGATGTAAACACTCTGAAGTTTTTGGGTTTTCACTTGCAGTCAAACTTGAAGTGGTTTTCACATGTAGATTTTGTAGCTTCTAAGATTGTAAAAGGCATATTTATGATAAGAGCACTTAGATCCACTGTTTCAGTTGATGTCCTTATTTGTATATATTATGGCCACATTCATAGCTATTTGTCCTATGGTACCTCACTGTGGGCCAACAGTTTTTATGCTAACAGGTTGCTCTTTACTTTACAAAAGAAGGCGGTGAGGTTAATTTGTAGTGTGAATAGAAGAACACATTGTAAGCCCCTTTTTGTGGGTCTTAACATTCTCACATTTCCATCTTTGTATGTTTTGGCAAGTTTGTTATATGTAAAAGAAAACATTTCTCACTTTGAAAAGATATCTGATGTGCACAACTACTGTACTAGATCAAAAGATAATCTGTCTACACTAAGGCATAAGTATACAGCCACTCAAAATAGTTTTGAGTACCAAGGTGTTAAAATGTACAATTTCTTGCCTGCATCCATCAAAAACCTGTGTGTTTTAAAATTCAAACATGCTATAAAAACTACTCTAACCCAGGCTTGCCTGTATAAACATGAAGAGTACTTTGGTTTAGAGTTTTAGATATTTTAGTTGCCAGAGCCATCTTGATTGTTTTGTTTTTATTTTGACGATTGTCATGAACTTTGTACATAGTTTTAACGACAATAAATCATTTCATTTCATTTCATTTCATTTCAATTTAATTTTTAGCTCTGTCCGGTGCAATGTAGAGGTCGTGTTTTGTTTACAATTCGTTTCTTGTTTTTCAGTCATTTAAAACCTCGTTAAACCTAAGGGAGTGTATGTTTTATCTATGGTTAAACCAAATAAAACAATCCAATCATAGTCTTGGTATTACGATGATGCAGGATTTCTTTTTTTTGTTTGATTAAGTTGCCCCAATGATAAATTTTAGCACAGTAAATTACTGTTTATGTTTTCTGTTACTGTATGTGCTATACCCATAACACTAGATTTTGCTACTTGTGATTGATTGTGTTTACTTTTTTACTAAAGATCAGGGTTTGGACCATTCCCTTTTGTAAAAATTGCCATTGGCGTAGAAAACACAAACAAATAAAAAACAAGACAGAGTGTTGAGTTTATTTATACCATCCCTTTTTGGAAGACTTCTCTAAAAATGTGTGTGTTAAGAATGTAATTTATGTTTTATGTATTAATTAAGAGTGTTACCCCAAAGTTTCTAGACTTTGGTAATGAAACATGTGTAGCACATTACTTTAATAGCCAATGGACATTTTGTATTGCCAACTCCATGTAAATGGCCAATTGCTTTCAGTATTTTGAATTTTCATTCCTTTTCAAAATTAAACTTTACCTTGACAGTTAAGTTAGTATTCTTATCAGTTGCCACTAAGTTATTCTGTTTAAGTACATGAGGTGTTCTTAAAACATGTTGTAAAGAAATAGTTATGTGTACCAAACAAATTCATTACAAAGCAATACAAATATTTGGTTCATATTCTTTACTTTAATGTTACTATTATACCCTATACATGCATTTTTTAAGGTAAATACAACTGTTTGAATGGACAAGGTGATAGCTTTGTTACCTAATAAGATTCTAAAGCCAAGATCATTTATTGAATATCCAATAATCAAGAACGGCTGAGTCCAGTTTTGCGCCATCAAAAAGCTTCCGATTTTTCTATGGGTCGTACTAGAACCTTCTGATTTCTAGACGATCACTATGATCAATTACATAATTAATTGACCAATTATGTCAGCTTTACATAATTAGTTTTGGTTTTAAGGCCTGGAAAAACAATTTCTATTTTTGACTAAATATATTTTTTTTAAACGTCAATTTCCACTGTGGACACCTCTTGCATGCTGATGCCATAGGCTAAGGTGCTAGTGGATAATATGGCTCAATACAGTTGACAGAGTTCAACAAATTATGGAATTAATGTTCCTTTTTAAGATTCGCTTTATATTGTAAACAGCTTCTTAGGAGTATTCAAATGTCTACTATTGACCTGGTCGTTTTATGTATTTTCTACGCTTAATGCAAGTGTAAGTTACTTAATAAGTCCTCCAGATTGTCATGTGGTTTGGGATCAAAAATTAAAAAAACTTTAGTCAACTTGCTTCAGGTATTGTATTTTATAAATGAAACATAGAAAAAAAGTCACACAGAGAAACTTTTAGGCATCTCAATTTTACATCGCAAATTGTGTTTGCAAATGAATGAAACATAAAAACAAAACAATAAGGGCTATACAAGGTGAAGCTAAAAAAGTAACGTTTAGGCTTTCAGTGACATTAGTGAAGGGAAAGTAATGTCAATATCCCGAAACTGACTAAAATCTTGTACAAAAAGTCATTTGTACAGGTGTAGCAATGATTCACTGATGTCACTGACAGTCTAATGTATTGAATCCTTAGTCAAGTCCAATGTCAGGCCAGTGTCTTCATTAGTTTAAGCATTTGGAGCGCTGTCGGAAGCTTGAGTCTTCTCTGTGGCCACCGACACAGTGTCGGATACCATGTCGTCACTTCCCCCAAGCATTGGAAACTTCTTAGCGAGCTGCGCCCTGGAAAGTAATACCAAAGTAATTGCAACACTTTTAAAATTATCAATTTAAATTGGACCCTGAGGTGCAGTGGTGTGATCTTAAATTTTTCTGTGTGGAAACGCTCACCACTATCCAAAAATTGATAAAAATTATAGGATTATTGTATAAGATTCTCCTTCTGGCAGAATGTGAACGCTGGCAAAGAATTAACCTTGTGTTACAAAGCTATAGAAACAAGATGTTGCGCTAAAGCCTACAGTATAAGAGACAAAAGAAATTGTTATTGCATTACTTTGAATGGTAAGTAGGCCTAACAACTAATTGCAACCACATAACCTCGTTAATAACCCAAATTATTCTGTGAAAATCACATTGTGAGGTCAAATGCAAGTGTATGCCTCTAGGTACAAATGGTCAGTTCACAGAAAATCCTATAGGCCTAGGCCTACTCAGGATAGAAGTATAGTGAATATCTAAACAACATTTTATGAGGATGGGGTAAAGGCTCACCATTCTATAAGAGATGAGTGATGAGTAATTAGAATATAGGGTGTGCTGTTAGCCTGGTTGTTTGTGTCATGGAACAGGATTCATGGATACAATTTCAGCTGGCATAACCGAAACGCATTTGAAATGCAACACAGACCCAAATATCTTTAAAAAATGAGTAAATTTTACCATAGAAGATGTGATCAAGTTAATTGATAGAAAATCCAAGTAGGCTAAACACAAATTAACAGAGTGGTTAAAATAAAGTTAGGCCTAGCCTATTTCAGTCAGTACTAAGCGAACAACAAGTGTGTATTATGTAAACCTGTAATGTATGATGTATACCTGTAACCCCTGAAGCATTGTAGATGCAAACTCTCTTGGTAGGTAAAACATTTCTATTGTTTCAAAGCAACAACACAGTCTGTTCCATTATAAGGAGGCAATTGCAACTGATATTTTTCAGCAAGTTTGGGGGGCACAAACCGCCCTCCAAGATAATGGTATTTGCCTTCGAACCTTTCAGCACATTTTTTGGGTGCAGTGAGTGATATTAACATTTCGGGTTGGATCCCATCAGAAGGTGGACCTGACTCAACGTTCCATCCACTTGGAATATCAATGCTACAAATAGGTACGGAAGTTTTCCTAAGTGAATCCAGAACTTCGACAAACTCAGAACGAACTGGAGGACGAAAACTGAACCCAAATAAAGCATCTACTATGATATCAAACTTCATATTGATTTTCTCCAAACTTGGAAGCGCATTAACGAATATAATTCCCATTTCTATACACTGATGGGTCAAGTTGCGGTACAGTTCCTTATCTGTGCGTTTGGGATAGTAAATTTCAGGGTCAAACCCAAACAACTTTAAATGCCTTGCACAAACAAGACCATCCCCTCCATTATTTCCAGGACCACATAAAACCAAAACGTTCTTCCGAGGTTTGGCTTTGTAACACTGATAAACTGCAGTTGCACAGCTTAATCCAGCTAATTCCATCAGTTGATCAACACTAAACTTGTAATCATTGAACAATTCCAAATCAATATTTGTAGCTTCTTCCTGATTCAAATGTTTAACCATTGTAGAGTGTAATTGTACTTTATGTTTGAAGGTATTTCGTATTCTAGTACATGTAATATTCGTCCCTAGGGATGGCCAGACACTTCTTGATGTTAATGGCCTAAAGATTAAATTGATTGCTGAGCCAAAAATCTTCATAACATTTGAGATAGTTCATGTGATAAGATTTCATACAAAACTAACCTTGAAAATCTTATCGTTTCATAACCTAAACCAGACCACAGAATAAGTTATATTACGATTACAAATGTCAATGAACAAGAACAATTAAAGAGCTTGTTGGTAAAAAAATCTAATAATAATTAACAACTTAATGCATGAAACAACTACGAAAGTAAGTCACTTCCAAATAAATTCTAAAAACAAAACAAACACTGACACTGTCACAGTTGAGTTTGGGTTTGTCATTGTCACTCGCAGATCACTGCAGACAACAGAGGTGGTGTGTTTTTTTCTAATTTACACAGCTGGCTAGCGTAGAGTGTTACTATGAAGCTGAACTTCTTTACGTTTTAGCATTGACTTTAGATAAAGTCAATGGTTTTAGTCTTCTTGGTTCTTTATGAGCAGTAAGCAGTGATGTGATTATTGTATTTATCTTTGTTGCCAGGTTAATTCGTTTAGTAAAGTATAAGTAGAAAAGGATGGAAAAGGTAACTTTAACTATAAAGTCATTATCCGTAGTCCAGGGGCTATCAGAATGAATAATATGGAAAAGGTAGTTCTATTGACATTGCAGCATTTAAGGTTGAGTTGAGAAATCTGATATTACTTCGAAACTGGCCACATGAAGCACTAGTCTATCACTGAAGCAACCTCTGGCTAGCCCCAGTATCCCCTGACTATATTAAACCTTACTTTCCCATTTTCACAGGTCAAACGAACAAACTACAACTGCGTTCCTAAAAGTTCATACGTTCATCAATTAAGTAGAAAAAGTATAATTATAATACGTCACCTGGTACAAAACAAAATGATCCTGTAACACAATCCTTACCTGAATCTTGGGTGGTTGATAGCGTACACCCATGGGTCAACGCACGAAACTACCTTAGCAAAGACAGCAGGGATCATTCCCACCATCGGCGTCAAGATAGACCTGCAAGTTTGTTTTGGTCGTAAGTATAAAGTGATGTACGCAAATACATGAGGTATAAGTTTTTAATCAGATTAAAATGTAACCTAACATTAATATACCTGCATTTTTAACCTGGTTTAACTTTGTTGTACCTTTGGATACACTTTAACGTGAAATTAACGCTGGGGCCATTGAGCTTTAACTTTAAGTAATTATAATTTCCTATGATGCATTGAAGGTTTAGATTGTACCATGGACGCCTGAACGAAGCCATGCCTCTTCCTGAGACTAGCCAAACATTTTAATCTACCCTTATAAATATGAAGACAGCTTTATTCGTTCAAATGAACCCCATGAATAATAATAATCTCAATACGTTAATTAAATGTATTTCAAAAACGTAATACATAACCAAGAAACCCCAATGAAAATTGCTAAATAGAAAACAAAAAAGTGTGGGATGTTTAAAACAAAGATTATATTAACAAGCTCTGTTTTAAAACTGCGTAGCAATTTCACCAGAAAACTTTCAAAACTCACCTGTCACCAAAGGTCCCTGTCAAAGCTACGAGAGCGTACGGAGTCCAGGAACAGACAAACAGGAAGAAGATCGTCAAAGCAACCTTAAAAGTAACTTACGATTAGTTTGAATTAGAAAACCGATCAACTAGACAGAGCAATAATCTGTTAGTAACAGTGCTAACATTGACAGTTATTACGTGAAGAGTCACAGACTCACAGAGATAAGGTACAGAAGTAATAAGCTTATGGGACGACAGTGAGATTTCAGCTCTGTTTTTTTGTGTGCAAATATACATTTGACGAGCATGAAAGAGCCCGAAATAATACTGCACACGGTGTTTCATCTCCATCGTCATCTATAGCGTTGTAGTGCATGAGGATGAGGGGGCGGTGTTCGACTTTGCCAATAGACAGACACCAGCACCAGTAGGAGACACAACTAAAGTGTACCATTGAATGTTTTTTTCTGTAACTTATTTCTGTGGAAAAGCGTTCAACGCTTTAAATATTAAGTATACGTAGCCTGCATTATGTTTGTTTAACATCGTATTTTTGCTCTAAATTTGGGTGTATACCGGTATAATACGAGGTCCCTCCCATCTAAAGAGAATCGGAGACATAAATATGAAAGGACTTTGCTCACAGAGAACTGTTCATTTTTGGTAAAGCTATGTATATAAAAGAATAAAATTTCTCGTTGACCCCCTATGTTAAACCCCGTACACTAACAGAAATTGTAGTAGTATGAAAAAGTAATTAATACCTTTGCAATCCTAATCTCGACGCTCTTCTGAGCAGCGTCTTGGTTGCTGGATAGTGACTTGACGTTCATCTTCTTGGCCTGAAACAACACAAAATAGTAAATGATAAAGCCAAAAATTTACTGGTCTTAAAATACTTGAGGTAACGAATTTATGTACCAAGTTTAAGAAAATTTTAATAACGTATCAACAAATCGTTCTGAAAAAATAAAACAAACCTTTACAAAATCTTCTATGTCTCAATCAAATCAATATCTAAAGGGGGAAAATGTATTGTGTATAGATTGTCCATGTAGATATCTCGACCACAGCATCCAAAGGGCTGTTAGGGGTATTAAATATAATTTATTCACACATCGTATTGAGAACAGCGGTTTTCAGTTCAGTACAGAATAAGCAAGCATACTTGAAAAGAACTGTTTTAGCATTCGTGGGATTAAGATGAGGCTAGAAGGCAATACAAACATTTAACAACGAGACTGCATAGCAAAGTTAAGCCTGAAAATTTACACATTAGGAAGAAATAGTTCAACACACCTGCTCCTTCAGCATCTTCTCGTGCTGCCTCACATGTCCGATGAGCTGCGAGTAGAACAAGATGATGAGGAACATCGGGATGCAGTAGGAGTAGACGAAGATTGAGCCCACGAACACTCTAGTGTTCTCGTCCTGAGTAAGGTAGTCGAACGAGCAAGTCGTCAGGTAGCCCTCTGTAACAAAATTAGTTTATTGAACAATAAATATCGTATTTCATGGAGAGGCACTCCATTTATCATATTTCCTCTGGATAAACCTACAGAAAAAGTCACTTAATTTAAGAGATAGTTTTCCTAGGTGATTCAGCTTATGGTGGGTTTTGAACCACATAATCACGACATTTTCTCAAGGTTGTTAGCGTCTCGAACTTTAGTGCAAGGGGTGTGGTGTCCGATCCCCTCCATATCTACAAGAACCCGCAAGAGGTTGGGACCGTCCTCTTTTGAAAGCATTAAATGTTCATACAAAGTGCCACAGGAGTTCAAGGCAACAGAAAAACCTATTAGTGAATTGAATTGAACCAGAGGGTCTGTATAAGGACGGAAGTCTCTCGCTCTAACGATTAGAGCGGCTACTCGACTCTTGGAATAGAGTACTGAAATGAATTTAAATCTAAACTATCTATTTGTACCTAAGATACCTACGTATGTAAATGTTGCTTCGAAAATCAAGTTAAGGCTTTTTCAAATAGGTCATGTTTCTTCTTCCCTATAATGTGCATAGCTCTCTATGTACATAAAACCTTCTACTATTGAGTCTTTACATTTCCATGTTAAAAATTCATAGTTTTGTTTAAAAAGTTAATTCAGTTCTTTGCCGATTACAACAACCTTTTAACAAAGCCAAACTGAAATGACAGCTTATAGTGAACTGTAGGGACTCATAGTGATTCAATTGAAGGGAGAAAATGAATGTTTAAACTAGCACACCCGATGAGAGGAGTATTTAACCATGTTCAATTTAGGTAAAACATTGCCTGTAGCTGTTTTACTTTAATGGCATGCCAACTTAAGTATGCAAAATTCAATGATAAAATTCACTCGCTTAATATTTGGTTATTTACGTATGTGGTTAATCAATTAGTTTACCAGGTACGTATTTTCCCCAGTAGTTGTTGATAGGGGAGATTGAGAACGGGAGCGCGTAGGCCCAAGCGAAGAGCACCAGAAGCAGGGTTTGCTTGTATGTGAGCCGCCCGTCCAGAGGGAACGCTATAGTCCTGCGAATAGAGTCCATAGATTAAATACAAATGTAAACTCTAATAGTTTGAAAATGAAAAGTTTTTATTCAACAAATAATTATATATCTGAAACAAGACTATGAACACTGTCAAAAGCTAAAACGTAAGTAAAGGCAATGCCAAACTCTTGGGAAATTATAAAATGATTCTCTTATGGGGGCATCACAGCATAAAACATGTCACTAAAACACGACATTTTTTTTGTCAATATGTCAAATCTTTCGCTCCTTCTTGATTTTACATTCAACCGTAGTCCATAACATGGACAGAACACGGAATAGTATATTTCCGCTTCATCAATACTGATCTACTGAGTACCTCTGCCTCATATACAGTAGCATATATAAATTGTTGATAATAATAGTACCGACTTAAGTTTGAGTTTTTGTGTTCAATATACATAGTAGTAAGTTGTAAAGTTCAATTTGTTTACGTTTTGTCTGTAAATAGCGGAGAAATGTTCAAATTGTATATACCTTTAAGTTCAGTATTTTTAATTAACCACATATACAAATACTACACGCACATGTCACAATTAAATTTCATCTTACATAAAACTGTCCCCTGATATGTACCCTTCCAAATCGGTCATACCTGTATCTGTCGTAGGCAATGATGGCGTTGTTGATAGCAGAGCCGATGCCGGCGATGGAGCCGAACAAGCCATACATATCACAACCGAACTCCCAGCCTATAGGCCTCTGGTAGAACGAGTTGATGATCAGCATGGGCATGTCCAGCATCATACACAGGTCGAAGATGGCCAGGTTCACCACAAACACGTTGGACGGCGTCCGCAGACTCTTCGTGCTGCAGAAAAATACTCAGAGTTACTACGCATAGGGTAGTTTTAGATTCATGTGTTGCATGATCTCAGTGTCAAGTATTGGATAATTTTAGAGTAAAGCATTGGACCAACAGAGAAAAGTATTGTCCGACCTCAAAGTAAAGTATTTGATAGTTTCAGATTCGAGTAATGGCCTCATGAAGAAATATTCAATGATCAAAGTAATGTATTCAAGGTTAAGTATTGGATAATATAGTGGCCAGTATTTAATAATCTCAGAGTAAATTAATTATTGAATGACCCAAAAAGCATAAAGTACTAGTAGTTTTGATCGTGTTTTGCAACGGTAAAAGAAATTAGAATTTAAAAATCTATTAATGTTGTTCAAATTAGCTAGTTAACGATTTGGAGGAGGTAAAATTATCAATATAACAACAAACACATACAAAGACAACGTAATTATCAACAAAGGGTATAGAATTGAAAATCAAACATAAAAAATGTCTTCGTACACGGACATTGTGGCTGAAGTAAGAAGCAGGAATATGACATTGAGAAATTATGTACATGTACTAAGGAAAGAAGACGAATTCCTGATCAAGACAATATCATCAAATACTCCCAAGAATAGATGACCAGGAGGGCCAAAGCTATAAGATGAGGACTGAAAAGTAAGAGGAGGAGGCGGATTGGCAAGTCTGGAGGAAATCTGTCGGCAAGGTAAAATACCGCCTTGGACAAGACTAGCTAAGTCTACTAATTGATACTTACGTGAAGAAGAGGTATATCACAATGAAGTTGCCCGATGTATTCATTATCATAAGCATGGAGTAGATGGCCGCCAACATGAAGTGGGAGCTGAGGTCCGGGGCGAGAAACTGCTTCCAGTGAGGGTGTACCAGACCAGCGTGTTCTGGAGGGATGTTCCATCCCAGCATGTGTTCCTCCTCCATCATACCCCTGGATAGAACACACCAATCATCAATTTGGGTACCATTCAATGTAATCAAATCAGGTACAAACTATAGAGTCCCTTCAAAAAAAGAAAAGTGGTGGTATTTTCATAAAGTCCATTCACGGCGGAGGTTTACTGCCCCTCTCGCACAAATTGTTATTCAGGATTGGTTTTGCCAACAGTGTCATTTGGGGGCTTCTGATTGACTATAATGAAGGTTTACTATTTAATTGAAAAAATAGTTTTGTTCATAAAATAAAATTATAAACGCCTTAAATTCAATTATAATGTTTTATTATGAAATTAAACTGTCACACCCTACCAAACCAACCATACGTGCTGATAATGAAAAAATCCAATGAAGGTTTATTAATCGAAAAAATAGTTCTGATCATTAAATAAAATTATAAATGCCTCAAATTCAATTTTATAATGTTTTAATTATAAAATTAAACTGTCGTAACCTAACCAAACCAACCAAACTTGCTGATAATGAAAAAATCCAAGAACTAATCAAGTAAATACTCGCATATTATAGGAAAATAGTGGACTATGGGTTACAGGACTAATTTGTTGCACAAAATTCCATGACTTATGTCATGAACATCAAGATTGTTACTTTTATAATAATTTTAATGGTTACAGTTAATACGTCCCTTGTTATGAAAACAAGTTTAATCCCAAAAAAGAGTAAACCGAGTTTACATTAAAATTGATATTCGTGCCAATACTTTTTTAATAATGATAATTCTTTTAACAATTCAAGTATAAAGCCTCTAATACAAAAAGCAAAGAGTTCTTGATTTATTCAAATCTTATTACACTGCATGGAGAAAAAAATTAATACTGTGTTATATAAATCGATATTACCTTAAATTGATGCTGTTTCGTTTACAAATATTATTTCGACTTTCTAAAATGCAGATAAGTTGTAAATATCCCGCTCAGCTTACAGATTTTACATTTGCGCTGTGTCTCGTAGGAAAAATATACTGTACAAAATTCCAATGATGTAACGTTTTTATTTTTATTTTTAAACAAACACGAACAATTTTTCATATTTTTACTACACTATCAAAATTATTGGAAAAATGTAGAACAATATGCACTATTTTCTCTTTGTAAATGCCCCTTTAAAATTATATACTATTTATTTATACAATTCATAATTATTATTAAAATACCCCCGCTGCAGCAAACCTGCCGACTAAGCGAATTTCCATTTGTCTGAATTGATTTTCAGTTAAATATATTTTAATAACATTAGGTTTAACGAGTACCTAGGTTTGCTGCTACAAGGAAACTAATAAAGTGTGTTTTTGAGTAAAATATTGATTGCTTAGTACAAAATAAATAAATTTGCCAAATTTGATAAAAAAATATCCATAAACAAGCAAACTACAACATTTGACAATATTCTCCATAAGAATAACATGGTAATTTTAAATTTACAATTTTTTTAATTTTATCGGTAACTAATAATCGAACAGAAATACTTTTATGTACAAAATTATTTGTTTTTTTAAGCTCTTTAAAAAGGTCTTAAGAGGAATTGGGAAATTTTGTGTTTTGAGGGTCAAAAGTGAGAAAACCCAATTTTTACCCCATAAAAACCCCCGTAAAGCCCCGTTCCCATGGTCCGATCGTGCTGGTTCGCGAACTCATTCAAGTTTATCCCACTTTACACCTTTAAACCAAATTTCATCAAAATCGGACAAAAATTACTCAAGTTATCGCGTTCACGGACGTATATATATATATATATATATAAATTTGAACGAATGGTGTTTTTGGCCTCTGGGGACATCAAAATGAAAAAGTAAATCGGTCTCGGGTCTAGGTCTTACCGTGCCACCTACGGTAATAGCTACTTCCCTATAGGGAAATTCGCTAAAAAGCACATCCACTGAATTTAAGTTGGCCAAATATATGAGAAATAAATAAATTATACACCTATAATTAATTACAATTCTTACCATAGTGTAAACTTTACTTTGTATATTTTTATTTATATATTCAAAATTCAAGACGATTTAATGTTAAATTTTCATTCAATGTACGAAGGGTGCGTTTTAATGTATAATTTATTCAGTATTTATAAAAATGTTCTTTGAAATAAGGAAAAACATTTATTCGACTACATGAACATGGCTAATAAAAATCTGGCTTAATCACACATATAAACAGACTCCAGATTCTACTAATGATGACTCTACTTGTAGTTAAAAAAGGTCAATGGAAATTGTGAAATCAGACTGTATGTGAAGGCTAATTACAAATTCAATTTTTTTCGACTGGACCAAACTCAAAAATAATGTACGTTGTCGTTTTCATCACTATATTGAACAAAAATCAGTAATTCTTCCATGTCCACCGTACAGAAATTAAATCCACCAACACTTTAGTATAGTCATAAAAAAAACAAATAAAAAAACATGTATCCAAGATTCAAAGTCAATCTTACCCTCTGAAGGCGAGAGGCTGGGAGACGAAGCTGTCGTTCAGCATCATGGTGATACACTCGAATTTCCTCGAAGACTAAGGCTGAGATTCCCGAAGACAGAAGAAGGACGAAGGCTAAGCTCCAGGCGGTGGAAACAAACTCCAAAGCTTTGAGGTGCAAATTCGGCCGCGCAAGCAAGCCGGACCTATCAACCTAAGGAGGGGAGTGCGCGGGCAGTTTATATACCCCCGGCATTGCGTGCCGTCTAAGCTAGTGATGGGACAAACGACTGATTTCAACCATCCGATGTTTCATCCGATGGTTTTGCTTTCATCCGATAGTCTTCAGATGGATGATTCATCCGATGGTTTTGAGTGTAGTGGGGTGGGGAGCGTCCGTGCTGCTTTCGGAGACAGATAAAACTATCCAACTAGAGAACGAATGGATAAACCATCAGTTCGCGCGCCTGATCAGATAGATAGTTTTGGTTATGTTGGCATTTGGCGGTCCTATCCAGCGCCATGTTTCGGAGGATTTACCCGTGCATGAACAAATAGATCATCAACAAATAGTAATTAATAATATGTGTTGCGTGATTAAAGAACTAATATGTATTGTTAAAAAATTACTTGCCTCTTCTGTTTTATTTTTATTCTATATATTTATTTATTTTTCATTAGTTTAAAATTATTTAAAATAAATAATTAATGTTTCCTTAAGGTTTGTTATTCACTATTTAAGAAGATAATTCCCTTTTTTCTAAGTTGCTTGGTTATTTAATTTTAATATTTTGATGTGTCTAAATTATGACCACTCGGTATATTGGATATTTATTACTCACGTAATAATTTTACGCCAAAAAGGTAACAAGCTGTTTGTACAAATTAAAAAGTCTTCATAATTTAAACTACGTAATTAATAATATCTGCCCAAATGCATTTAAGTTACTGTTGTTCTGAGCATGAGCAGATGATTGGATGATTCACCTGATAATGGATGAATAAATAACCCATTTAATATCCCTTTGTAGAAAAATAAGTTAAACAAATTAACTCATCGGGCAAATAAACAATTTCACCATTAAATAAAGAACAGTTTCAGTTGTCAAATGACTAATTCATAGTTTAAACTAACGAAAATGCCACACGGATAGTTTTACAATTGAATGAAAACGTGGAACGGGTGGTTTACAGACAGACTAGATAGTTGATTCGGCTGATTCACCTGTGATAGAATGGATGGTTCATCCGGATGAAAATTAAAGTAACCATCGGATGAATCGGTTGGCGCGCAACAACCGGATGAATCGTTTGTTTCTATCGGATAGTTCCCATCACTAGTCTAAGCCGTGTGATATCAGAGGTACAATCCAATAGAAGTTGTCTTTGTCATCAGACCTGAGGGTGTTGCGGGGTTTCAGACCTCGACCCAATACTTAGTTGATTTGATTTGTCCAATGTGTTTAAGGTTGTGCAACCCAGGAAGAAAAGAGGATAAAGAGGTGTGGGAAGTTTGGAGTGATTCTTTATTCACGTTTTTGTGTTAAAAGGGTTGGATTAATATATGTTTGGGCTCAAATACATTTTGGATTTTAATTTTTTTTATTAATTCAAAATGACTCCAGGAGCTACATTGATATACTGGCCACCGCAGGCAGTCGAATGCACAGTAATGGGCCCTTTTAGTTAATTTACTTCCACGATATTTTTTTCTGACAATAATTGTATCATTATCTAATAGATTATTTTAAGTTGGATTGGAACCAGGACACAGCTTAAAACTGCAATTATGTATTTAGATACAAATTATGCAGTAGTACCGTAGTGAATAACGGAATAGGTCCATAATGAGTAGTAAACGTATGAGAGTGACACGTGGGAAAAGAGTGATTTTGCATTTTCATTTATACTGTGTAGTTCTACAATTTGCCTTTGATTCTAGTAAACAGGGAAGGCGTTGATTGGGTTGCTGCCATACGAATAGACGTTCCTAAATCGCCGACACAAATAAGTTTTCATTTAAAAACTACTACAAACCAATCTGTTTACAAATTTGAGAGAAAACTAGATTCTGCTGTAATCACGGAAAACCCGTTGAAAACATCCCGACAAAACTAGCATTCTTTGGACTTTTGTAAACATCGGTGTGAACGCGGTTTTAAATTTTCCGTAAAGAAAATGAAGATCCCGTTTTGTTCTACGTAAAACCTAAATAAATAATTACTATCTTTTCATTGCTGGACAGTAGAGAATGCTTCAAATAAAAGTAAATTTTTATTACTAAGGTTTTCAAACAAACATAAGTATTTAACAAAATTAGCTTTCCCAAATTATTTAGAATTTCAGCAGTATCTTTTCGGGTCGGTTTTTTAAACCACGCACACACCGGAGTTTTCAACGTGTGTTTTAGTCCAAAATGTACAACAATCCAAAGAATGCCAATCGAAATTTATTTAACAATTGGGTGTTTACAACAAAAACTATGTTTTACTTTCTCCCCCTATACATAGTTTAAGGAGAAGGACAGGTATTGTTTACGTCAAGTTTTTGAGTTTTAGGATCGGAAATCTTTGTTTTGGGTGAGTGTGAAAAACACTGAACCCCAAACATGTGGTTTTCGAAGTGATGTCTGTGTGTTGATGGTATCAAATTTTATTTGAAGTATGGATGTGTAGGCCTGCAGAGCTACATGTGATCCGATTTTTATGAAATTCGGTATGTGCTTATCCATATAGTATCACATAATAAATTACTCTGTATTCTGTTACAGTACCAATAGGCAGTTTTTATTTTTTATTTCAAATTTTCATGGTGATTTATTCATAAACCCAAATAAAAATAGTGGAAAATCAGATTTTTATATAAACGGCTGGAATGGTTTTGATAAGAATTGCATGTGCTGTATGTGCTTTAACTTCCTAACAAAGTAGTATCCTGAGCCAGTATCCTTTTAGTAAAGTGAAAAATAAATATATTATAAATTATCCAAGTTTTATAAAAGTATAAACATAAACAAGCAAACTACAACATTTAATTTTAGACTATCATGGAAACCAATATCCGGATAACCAATACCCGTAAAAAATTCCTTCAATATGCTAAATTATATTTTAAGCTATTTAAAATGGTAAAGATAAATTGGAAATTTTGAATGTTTTGAGGGTCATAAAATAACGAGAAAACCCAATTTTTACCCCATAAAGAAACACCGTTCCCATGGTCCGAACTCATTCTAGTTCATCCCGCCCTACAGTTTCAAGCAAATATTTATCAAAATCTGTAAAAAATGACTCATTGCATCACGTTCATGGACGTCTTTTATATACTGTATACATATAAATAACATTTTATTTAAACATAAATAGAAATTTAAACAAATTGTAACTCTAGGGGCATCAAAATGAAAAAAGTATATCGGTCCCAAGGGTAAGTCTTACCGTGCCCCCTACGGTAATAGCTACTTCCTTATAGGAAAATTCGCTAAAAGCCATCAATGTGAAAAATTGATTCGAACCCAGGCTTTCCGTGCTACATATGGTCATAGTCTAAGTCATTTATTCAGACGGATTAACACACATTTTGCATGGGCCAAATAAAATCACATTTATTTTTAAATGAAATAAACTTGTATTATTTTACTGGTAATACAGTAGCTTCTTCCGTTTACGGAAATTCACTAACAAGATATTCAATTACTCAATTAATTACTGTTACTACTGTAGATAAGTTAATTTATTTCTGCAGCTGCAGTGCTCTGATTTGAAAACCAAATCGTTCAAACTTCAAAGAAAAGCTTTCTAGTTTTATTTCCTGTTTCCCCTTCTTACTTCAACTTCACGGCACCGGCAGCGTGCGGCGTCTGCTCTGCTTTGGCTTTTCTGTACAGCTGAGCGCGCGCGAGCTCGAGCTGTCCAAGACGAACATAACCTGTTAAACCAACCTAAAACCTAACCTCAAACAATGGATTTTAGTTGTCCTAGTTTGTCAAAGGTTTTATTAGATTTTATGCTTTTTGTTGGCCTATCCTAACACTAAAATATTTGGAAAGTTCTTATTTTATGTGTAAGTCTTTGTGGTATTTGTATTCATATAGGTACTCAAATTATTAAAAGACTAACCTAACATTTATACTGAGTCTACTACTTATAAACATGGTTGTTAGTTTTACTAGGCCTAGGCTATAAACTCTTTATGGCATTTAAAATGTTCTTAGCTTTCTGTAAAATTTAGCTGTGTAACGAATGGCTAATTTAAAGCTGTGGTGCCTCTTTAGAATAGTTACAAGAAACAGTTTTTTCTATTCCAAAAAGTAAGTAACAAATTGGTGTGAACCTGGCAATAACTCCAGCCATAAGTAGTGCGCGCGCCCGAAAAAATCTATTGCTGGACGCTTTGCGGCAAAATACGTCCGCGATGCATATTACCGATTATGCCAACAGATAGAGGACACTTTAACGGACACGACAGTATCAAAATTATGTGCCTGGGGAGTAGGTTAAGGGGGGTAAAATGAGCAATAAGTAGTGCGCGCACCACCAAAAATCTATTGCTGGCCGTATTACGGCAAAATACGTCCGCGATGCATATTACCGATTATGCCAACAGATAGAGGACACTTTAACGGACACGACAGTATCAACATTATGTACCTGGGGAGTAGTATAAGGGGGGTAAAATCGGCAAAAAGTAGTGCGCGCGCTAGAAAAAATCTATTGCTCGCCGTATTGCGGCAAAATACGTCCGCGATGCATATTACCGATGATGCCAACAGATAGAGGACACTTTAACGGACACGACAGTATCAACATTATGTACCTGGGGAGTAGTATAAGGGGGGTAAAATCGGCAAAAAGTAGTGCGCGCGCTACAAAAAATCTATTGCTCGCCGTATTGCGGCAAAATACGTCCGCGATGCATATTACCGATTATGCCAACAGATAGAAGACACTTTAACGGACACGACAGTATCAACATTATGTACCTGGGGAGTAGTATAAGGGGGGTAAAATCGGCAAAAAGTAGCGCGCGCACTACTTTTTGCCGATTTTACCCCCCTTATACTACTCCCCAGGTACATAATGTTGATACTGTCGTGTGCGTTAAAGTGTCTTCTATCTGTTGGCATAATCGGTAATATGCATCGCGGACGTATTTTGCCGCAATACGGCGAGCAATAGATTTTTTGTAGCGCGCGCACTACTTTTGCCGATTTTACCCCCCTTATACTACTCCCCAGGTACATAATGTTGATACTGTCGTGTCCGTTAAAGTGTCCTCTATCTGTTGGCATCATCGGTAAAATGCATCGCGGACGTATTTTGCCGCAATACGGCCAGCAATAGATTTTTTGTAGCGCGCGCACTACTTTTTGCCGATTTTACCCCCCTTATACTACTCCCCAGGTACATAATGTTGATACTGTCGTGTCCGTTAAAGTGTCCTCTATCTGTTGGCATCATCGGTAATATGCATCGCGGACGTATTTTGCCGCAAAACGGCCAGCAATAGATTTTTTGTGGCGCGCGCACTACTTATTGCCAAGTTATTGCCAGGTTCACACAAGTAAGTAACAAAGTTTCTAAGTAGGGACTAGGCCTAAAAAGGTATTTTGAGATCAGTTGCCTATCCACTTTCAGAACATGGCAGTTTATCAATCAATTGGAATTATTGGTTAACCAAGCCAAGTTAAAGCTTTCATAAAATATAAAGTAGGCTAGGCCTACCAGTACTTAAACTATCAGTTTTTCATCAGTATCACTGTTATAGTTTATTGCCTCTATTGTTAGCATTTGTAAGTTAACATATGTTCTATTAATCCATATCAATTGACCCTAATGTTTGCTAAAGGCAACTTTGTCGTTTTTATTGTCAAATCACAAGTTAAATAAAAATACACAACATAACTTAATCAAATAAATGTTGTTTTCCATTCACTAGAGTATCAAGAAACGTCGGCCATGTCATCATCTACACCAGGAGTTGAAATGAAGGCTCCTCGAGAGCAGTACGATGAACTGCTTGGAGGTCAGACATGCCTCCCCTCCCGTGTTAGTATTCTGCACTTCGCAAATGCCAGGAGTCAAGAGATCTCAGCACTTACCGAAGCAATTGGTAAATCTAGATAAATATAAACTGAATAGAGAGATATTGTAGAAAACTAAGCTGTCTGAAATGCAGAGTAGGTATTCACCTTTTTAATAATTTCTGTGTAGTTGTGTAGAGGTATAATATTCACAATCAAAGTGTTCCCCCCAAAATTGTACCTATTAAAAACTTTCTTTTAAATCTGATGAAAGAATAGGCTATAATCAAAGCTGCTAGACCAGCTCTTATATTCAATTTAATTACGAGTTTAAGTTACATAGCAAGAGCCGATCACCATCATACTCACCACCTATTACTTATCCTTTCTTTGGACTCTTCGAGAGGAGAGAACCTACTCAAAGTCGTTCTCCAACTAGGAAAAATATAATAAAGTATTGATCAGCAGCATTGAAGTTCATCATTTTTTGCAATTTTAACTAAAATATTCCTCCCACTTTTCCATAACTTTCCTCTTTCATTGGCAGTTTTTCCCATCTGTATCAAGTAATAAGATTCAATTTAGGGTAAGTTAGGTACACAAAATCGTAACTTGTAATTTTTAAGAGTTCATTATTACATAAGTAATACGTTCTTTTATTTATAACTTTCATGAACAGTGGTAAAGATCAAATATCTATCTATCTATATATTAATAGGCAAGCATGTTTCTTTAAAACCTTTTTTCTCAGCTCGTGTGCATCGTAGGTAAAATCTACGCATACCGTTAGAAAGCTATTTTCCTCTAGGTGTGCAGAATCCCTTTATAAATTTAAATAGGCTCAAAGATAAGCACGAAAAATGAGTTTACAAATTTGAAAAAAATTAACATGGATTTTATGCGTTGCCATGGTGACGAAATAACAACGAAATGTAAACAGAAAATCAAAACAAATGGAAGAAACTCCAATCACATGTTTTATTTACAGTGTGGGGTAAAAATAGATAAGTGAGTACAGTACATTGGACATTTTTGGTCGAGTTTCGACCACTGGACGACCTCTCGTCTATATATTAATAGGCAAGCATGTTTCTTTAAAACCTTTTTTCTCAGCTCGTGTGAATCGTAGGGAAAATCTACGCATACCGTTGGAAAGCTATTTTCCTGTAGGTGTGCAGAATCCCTTTATAAATTTAAATAGGCTCAAAGATAAGCACAACAAATGAGTTTAAAAATTTGAAAAAATTAACATGGATCTTATGCGTTGCTATGCTGGTTACGAAATAACAACGAAATATAAACAGAAAATCAAAACAAATGGAGGAAACTCCAATCACATGTTTTATTTACAGTGTGGGGTGAAAATAGATAAGTGAGTACATTATACAGTACATATTTTTGGTCGAGTTTCGACCACTGGACGACCTCTCGTATTATATTAAGACTTAAATTAAATCGGTAATATTGAAATCATCAAACCCGATTTCTTTCAAATTATGTGAGAAATTAATAAATAATGTCTGTTAAAAACTGAGTAGGTAAGAAAATCTATTAATTAATGGTTTTGAAAGAAGTTTCTTAACTCATTAGTTGTAATATACCAATCAATTTACTTCCTTATTTCACAGAGGATCCTCAAAACAAACATCTGGCGTTCCAGCGGATGCCAAGACATCTACGAAGGCGAGCCATGAGTCACAATGTGAAGCGTATGCCGAGAAGATTGAGGGACGTTCATTTGGCACAGGTAAAACATAAATAATTTAAAAACACCTAAGAATGAAATAGGCCCTAACGATTTGGCCTATTAATAAAATTACAATTTTTAATAATTTCTTTTGATTGTAGGGCCTATCTACTTCTTAAGTGTTTTGTACATTATAAATTTATGTGAGCATTACTTAACTGAACGACTAAGTAGAAAAATAATCCTCAATTGTTCGTTAGCGCAAATTATATATTGTACTGAATGGCCTAATAAGTTTAAACAATCTACCTACCTGAATTGATAGGAACTTAGTATAAAACACTAAGATATACATTTAAATTCGGTTTTCGTATTTAGTGTAAGATGTGTAATATTTCATCCAGTAAATTTAAAACTATAGAACCAAATTTTTAAGTTTCTGTCCCCTCTTTTTTTGTGATTGTAGGCCTATATGTGAAAAAAATCTAAAACAAAGAAGTAGATATAGCAAGGTTTCAATTTTACATTCCGAGTATACAGTTACCTTCGGTCCACAGTTGGTTGTATCAACCCATGAAATTATTCAAAAACAGCCATGAAAAGTGACCATTTTTTATGAAGTGCAGAAGTTTTCTGCTAAAACCACAATAGCCTAATGATTTTCCAAAGCGAGCGATCATGGCTATAACTCTACAGATTTGAACGGGCATAGCCTATATTTTATTTTATTTCTTTGGAGCAAGTGATTGTGGATTAAATACAACACATACTTTGAAGCTCTAATCTAAAATCACACTGTATTTGGTAAAACTAATAATTCCGCAACTTTCCAGTTAGAGAAGTCAGGGTTGCCAGTCAAGGGGAAGCGACCTAGCAGAAAGTTTCGTCGTCGGCCGAGTAACTTGCTCCAAGAATACAACAGGAGACAGAGAAAGTATGCGTGGTTGGAGACCCACATCTGGCATGCAAAACGTTTTCACATGTTGGAACGCTGGGGCTACAAACTTCCTAACTACCCCAATGACAAAGCGTACCGAGCCTGTTACCGGGCCACTGCCAAACACTGTTTAATACAGGTTAGTATAGAGAAAAATAGGTTAGTCTTTCCTTGGTTTATGCTCCTACATCTTTTATGTAAAATGTATGTATGCTTGTGTATCCTTTACAAATAAAAAAAAGTGTTTTTACTGTAAATCTTTTGTTAGATAGCGTCCTGAATTTATAGCCCAACAACAAATGGTATCTGGATCCAAAATTGACTCTGCTTAGGATTAACAAATTATTTGTTCATCCAATCGCTGTGAAACTTGTGGATATTGTATTGTAAGGGAAGGTTTCTGTTTTTCCTGATCTTGAGGGGGCTCTACCTCAAGTTGTCAAAATAAACTCATGAGAATGATTTGATCAATTGGTTTTAACATAGATTATCAATAAATGATTCTCATATTAATGAACCAAGTTACATTAACCTACTGCTTGTTTTGGTTTTTGAATGCTTTTCTATTTAAACATTAGCTCACAGTTTTTTTGCTCTCCTAACATAATCAAAAGCTATATTTTGGTCATTTACATTGTGGTAGAAAAAATAATTTCAAATGCAGTTGCAGACCTTTTACGATTGTTGTATGATTGCTGCTGTAACTCACTTAAGACACGACTTTGCCTCTCCAGGGGATTCCAAAGGGGGGCTTCCAAAAAGTAGTTCAAAAACTTAACTGATTAAATAGTCAAGACCGGTTTGACAGAACAACATTTTCTAATCCACTAAATGTTAAAATTAATTAATACATTTGTAAATAAACACAAAAAAATCATTTTAATGCAATGCTTCCATCCAAAATTGATTTTCTTTCTTGGTCCCAACTATTGGTAAAACTAACAAATAACTTTGATTTCCCAGGATATGTCATACCTGAATTGCATTGAGCTTAAAGGATCAGAAGAAGACATCCTGAACGGTTTGAGACAACTAACCAGCACAGAATGTGGATTGACATTCGCGGCTAAAGCAACTCTCAGGGGGACGAAGGAGGGCAGTGTGATGACCTTCAAACATGGAGCTTACCCTTTCCATGCAATTGGAAGGGTGAACTTCATGTGGCGGCCAGAAGTGACCGAGAACTCTCAAACAATCTGGATTTGGTGTCACCCTGCTTTTTACAAAGAATTCTTAGAAGAACTTATTTTAGTTTTTCAATTTCAAAGCGTAGAAAATGATCAAATGGAACCCAATGAGACTGAAAAGAAAGCCATTAATGTAGAAATGATCAAGCTACAAACTAAAAATGTCGGTAGACTACCCAAATACACCAACAAAACTGTAGTTATGACTTTACTGAAGGACACTCTGAACAGGTTTCGCCTTACGGGGCCGCTAGCTCAAGTTGTACTTACGGAAGCTCTGAGATTTGTCGATATCGATAAATTTATTGGGGAAGACGAAAACAAAATGGAAGTCGACAGCGGTAAGCTTAGGTCGTTTTGGCTGAAAGAGTTTTACAGTGAAATGAATTTGGGCAGTTTGAGGCAGCAAAAGACATTTTGGGAACAGGTGCTGAAAGATGTCAACTCCGCGGATGAACTTCCTCCGAGGATGATTCTTGCCGCTACTGTGATGGATCCTCGATTGTCAATGCCGTCCTCTAGAACCAAAGCTGTGAACTTAGAAGGTTGGTTTGTAAAGACTTCTTATCCTTTACGACAGTAAACTTGTATTAAATTGCTGTTAAAATAATATTGGCTTACTTTCTTGTTATATCAACAAACAAATTCAATATTTTAGTCATAATATGTTCCTCACAAAAGAGTTTCATGACAAAAATAAATAGAACTTTGTATGGGTTGAATTGTCCTGCAAACTTGCTGCTAATCCATTATTCCAATCATCCATTATTGTATAAACAAACATGGCTTAAACTAACCTGTACATTTAGTGCTGTTTTGTACGTACAGTTATCTTGGCTCAGTATTAGTATATGAGAATTTTGACCTTGACAAAACAATGTTTCCACTAGTAACAGCACATTTTAAAGGTTTTTGACAAAAAAATTATCATGATGGAATTTTATATCCTGACCAACACATTACCACCCAATCCTAACCTCTCAGCCTAATCTTATCATTCTCTCTATCAACCTAATAACCTAACCATTCCCATACCAAAACTAACTTCTCTCAGCCTAATCTAACTTGCTGGTGTTAGTCACCAGTGTCCACGCCACGGTCCCTGCGGCACTCAGTAGCCAGAGTCCGCTGTGGGTGACGGAAATGCGAGACTGTGTGAGCCACAGCAAGATGGCCATCGCGGAGCTGAATAACCTGAGGTCGCGAGCTGTCGTTCCCGGCATCTCGACAGTCGAGTGGCTCGGCCAACAACATGTGAGTCACCTGCCAGTCTTGTTGGTGCAGATTCCTGGCGATAGAGACGTACGACGAGGTCAGTGTAGTATGTTTATATTTATGTGATATCCATCCATTTATATCATCCATCTGTCTAGTATATTTTAATCTATTTATCCTTTCATCTGTTTTTCCATTACGTAATAAACTCTTGGACCTTAGGTGAAATTTTGCACAAATATATCTACCGTACCAGGATGTAATCCTGTTGTAACTCCTTGCTTCGTATTTGCATTAATTGACTTGGCCAGTAATACGATTACTAGTAATAGGATATTGATTTTCTTTAGCAATGTACTTATTAATATACCTAGTATAGGAGACAGTACTGACTGATTGTGGTTATCACATTAAACTGCTAAAAAATGACAATATACACATCCAATTTTGGTCCTAACAAGGTAAGTAGGGGTTCACAGTGATCAATATTGTATCTGTATCTAGGCTACAGCTGTGGGTGGGACGTGATAGCCCCGGCTGGATGGGGGGCTCCGCTGTGGCTAGGACTGGTGCATCGTGGGGCCTGGGCAGGGGGGCTGCGGGACACTGAGCGACTCACCCTGGAGACAGCCTCAGGCCCCATCCTACCTCCCGACACTGCCGCGGGGCAGAGTCTAGCTCAGCTGAGGAGAACCCAGCTTCAGGACAAACACTTCCGGTAGGTACAAACTATACTCTCACACTCACCATGCAGTACAAGTCTAATGATAGACAGATAGACACTTCCTGTGCAATCACATTTATCTTTCACCTTCACCTAACCCAGAACCAGTTTACACATTACTTCAGACTACAAAAGGTGGTAGATCAGTTTTAAATGTTAAAAGTTATGTGTTTTTTTCCACGAAACAGTTGTAGTATTTGTAAACTTACAAAGATTTTTTTTACAGTAATTAGTTTATTTAAACCTCTATTAATTAATTCAGACGATCTAAAGGCCTTGACTATTCCAGCATGGAACTACTATTATTAGTTCATATGACCCTAGTGTCCTAATAAATCATATATGTTTGTCCTGGAATCGTTCTTTTTTTCCTGTAAAAACAATAGGAGTTCTGATAATCTAATCAATTTAATTTTCTATTGATAACACCGTTAATCAACAAACACTTTTGTAGGTTACCTCCAGACAAGCGTCCAAACTACGTCAAGCTCGGAGTTGTCACTCCATTCTACAGCCCTTGGACAATACTGCTTCAAGACTGGTCTTCTTCAACGGAAAATACAAGTTTTTACGTGATAAGAAACAGACTACAGCTACAGTACCTGAATTGTTTGTTGAACAAGACCAAACCTGTCACAACCTGTAGCTTCAGTGATAATGATATATCTTGCGGAATCGTCCAAGTGTCCGTCGAAATGAGTGGGAGAGGTTTGATAAAAGAATGTGCTTTAATCTGTGCAGCAAACAAGAAGGACATGAAGTTGACGAAGGATAAATCAGGTCGAGGACCAGTAGAGCCACTTCGAGAAGACAAGAATGAGGAACGGAGGAAAACGGAGAGGGATAATCATTTGAAGAAACTAAAGTGTTTGAGGAGAAAAAGGCTGAAAGCAAAACGTCAGTTGGAGGATAAAGGAATCTTTCTTTCAAAGGAAAAGACTAAGAAACGACCCACAGAGGCCATCGTTGCTGAACAAGCTGAATTAATGCGAGAACTTTGGTTACCAAGTGAAATAAAGAGTGTAAAATGTTCTTCAAGTCGAAGTATCGTCGGGTTTGTCACAAGTGGAGGTTCTTCGTTTACTCGAGCTTTGTCTACGGTTGGCTACGGTTTTGTCTCATTGTCAGCACTGCTAAGTGTGATGGAGAAGAACAATCTGTTTCTATTGAGAAACGTTAGTTCGTTGCAGTATTACTTTGTCAGATTAAAAATAATCTTTTAAAAGCAAATGAACTATAACTATATCCACCATGTATTTTTCACACATTTTATTAAGGAAGACTCTTTTGTTTGTAAATATATGCATTTTTTAAGTTTCTTAAATATTTGGTTTGTGTTTACATGAAGACCTTGATCTCTATGTTAGACTCTTTCTCGTTAGTACTTCATAGGACAGAAAACTTGTCACAACAAACTACCAGAACTTGTATACTTTTTCAAACCACACATTATTTGTGCAAAATTATGATCATAAAAAAGGAATACAGCAATAAAGTTTTAATGTTATGTACAATGCTAAGGAAACAGGAGTCTTGTTCTTGTTTATGTGGCTATGGCATGCAAGTGCAAGAATTTGCATAGGCTGTCCAAATGAGGGAAAATCTACTGTACTTTGCATTTTTGAAATAACATTTTGCAGTGTTATACCCTATAATCTTCACACTTCACAATATAATGAGAGTACTAAGAGAATTTATCAGTGTAAATTCAAGAAAATTGAATGAATGAAAATACTTATTCATTGAGGCGAACAATTAGGACCACATGATCCTTTCTTACAGTTAACCTCGTAAAAAAACCCCGAGGTTTGAATTTTAATTTTTAACCTCGTTAAAATTCAATGTTTTAAAGGATTGTTCACAGTTTTAAAATTTCCAATACAGTAAGGTACCATAAAATATCAACGTTATAAATAAAACTGTTTAATATCTCTATTCAACAAAAATGAATTACATATAAGGTAATAACAAAATATTTAAAACTAACATTATTTTTTAACATATAATTGATAAAGAGCAATAGCTTGATTTTTACACTTATTAATAAAATATAAAATCTTATCATACAACATTATTTATAGAAAATCTGATTCAGGAAATGGCCTACTAATGTCTACACGGTGGATATGAAAACAGTGATGCGTTCTAACATAAAAACTAGTGAAACAATAACGTTTCCTTCATACAATTAAAAACTAGTAACAAATTTTAATTGTTACCAAGATCAGCTGGTTCTTTTTAGCCAGGACCTTTTATAAAGCTTAAGGATCAAGGACAGCTGTGTCCAGTTTCAAAGCTTCAAAAATCTTATGACATTACCTAGGTTCGAACCGGCAACCTTCTGGTCAAAAGGCAAGTAATCCACTCAGCTGATCCATATAGGAGATATCACAAATTTGGTCTCCGAGTTTATCTAAGACTCCAGATAAAATATTAATCACTTGCACACCAAAGTCTTCTATCCACCATCTACAAAGTTATATACATCGACTTAGCCTAAGTGATATTTCCCGTCACTTGGCTATGGCAAGTGATCGTTCACTAGTGGAATGGCACATTTCATCACTTGACATCCATTGTATTTATTCCAAGGTCACAGCCTTTATGGACTTTAATCATTAACTTAGAGGTGCAACTTGTGATTTACAATGTTGAATAACAAGGAACATCTCATTTATGTATAACTTCATAAAAGATTTAAACATTTAAGCTGTAAACACTCAAAAAGTTCATTATTATCATATACAAATTCTAGTTTTGATTTTGATCTTTCGAGAAGATTGTGATACGTATTTTATTTTGAGCAGTATGTTACATAGTTTCCAACTTTTTTTTACGAAGAACCTTAACAATCTGGTGACAATTGTGCTAACTAAATCTCCAGGCTTCTAACAATGGGAATAACATCCAATGATAAACTAAATCTAGTAAGAAGGCAGATGTGTAGTATACCAGCCGATATGCACCATCGATTCTGACAGGAGTACGTTTCCCTAGAAATATTTGATTATCGTAGATTTGCTCAGCGTTGGAGGGGTCTCAGTACCGGAACGGAGACCACGCCCCTGTGTGTTCGTCTCTTCTGTAGTAATGCGGTCGATTGTCTCGGAAAACTGTGACCGCGGGGAACGGATTGTCTTGTATGTACTTTAATGTCGCTCTAATCTGAAAAATAAAAATACATACAAAATAATGCAGTGTTCTAAAAGAATTGTTGAAGCTTACACAAGGAATGCTAGTAGAAAAAGTCATGAACATACTTATACAATAGTACGAGGGCAGTTTTTAAGTAAGGGCCGTTTTAGCGTATAGATCTGTAGTTCGCTTGTAAGCCACAACAAGACTCCTTGCCACCTACAACCATAATTTCATAACAGAATAACACCATTTGCAGCTCTGTAGCTGATATGTACTCTTCGCTGTGTGTTTTTCAAATATTTTAAACCTTTAAATGTCCTGTCACGTGCGAGATAAGGTCAGTAATGTCGATATTCATTGCCAGAAAACTATGGCCCTAATAAAATGAGTGAGGGCAAAGTGCGGAAATGAGTCATGGAGTAAAAAAAATGGCCAAACGAAGCCAGTAAGTGGTGTGGAACCTTGTTGCGGCGTTTAAGAAAACTACAGATTCTTATGCTAAAACGGCGCTTACTTAAAAACCGCCCTCGTATATTACGCTACAAGGACAAAAAGTAGGTGTTTATGATACAAGAACAATAGAATTTAATGAAAGTACAATACCATGATACTTTTCAGCACAATATCAGCAACAAAATCTCTTAAAAATTTGTTGCTGGTAGTGTGACGAAAAGTATCCTGTTTACGGGTGATTGAAATACAAGTATTAGTCCTATACTCGTCCTACCCTTTAAGCCTACTTGCCCTGATGAGAATTTTGTTTTTGTTTTAGTACGGGAGGCTCTAGCCCCGGATATTTTTTCACAATACCTTAGGCTAGACCTAAGGGTTGCGGTATCATCAATTAGTTAAAATTTAAAATCCAATGGTGATTTGGCAAATTTGAACCCAGGATCTCAGGGATCGAAGTCCCGTGCTCTACCACTACTCCAGCCCGCTCCCCAATAATCATTAACATCTGCAACTCAACTTGGATTGATGGAATACATACATGCATGACGAAGTGTGGAGGTTCGACGTCAGGGGTGGTGGACAGGTGTTGCAAGATAACCTCGTCAGGCTGTTCTAGCCACAGATCCACTCCTCGCAGAGGGTTGTAGTTGAACGGGCCGATCCTCAGCAGACCCAGGTTACAGTCGTAAATGTCCAGAATCTGAAAACGTTTTAATTAATGAATAAGTAGTTCTTGCTTGCAGTGAATGCATGAAAAAAATAACTACATAAATCATGGATTTTTTGTGAGGGTAACAGACCTACCTGAGTGGGAATGAGTCCAATATGGACTAAAATTAACAGTACAGCAAGACACTAATCATAAAAAATTAAGGGGAGTGAGGATGTCAAGGATAAATTATATTTGATTAACCAATGGTTGGAAACATAAAGCTATTTTAGTTCAAAGAGATCCAACTTATAACAGTCATTTTTTGCCTTTATTTTACTACAAAAAATCCGATAGTTTTTTTTTAAATTTTATCCTTATCACCATATGAAATCTGCGTTGATGTTGGTTCCATTACATTCTGTTGGCCAAACTGGCACCACTATGGACAATAATTCCTATTGTCTTATTTATCAATTTACATTTTTTCTAAGTTTTTGGTTAACATGGTATTTATTTTAACGGTGTGTGGATAAAATGGGTTTTATTGTACAAAGTTCTACTGTATATAGACCATTGTGTTTAGCCATACAATCATAACAACTATGGTGGGTATACCAACTATATGACCAAATATAAGACTACCACTGACTTGGCGTCTGTAGCTTTTAGCGTAAGAACTAAAATATTACCTGTTGACCTCCCGTCAGGTGACGAGCACTGCGCAACGCTAGCTCTGGACCTTTGTCTGGGAATGTCGCAGGGAATATTTCTCCAGTCTTTACATTTACACCTAAACACAAGATATCACCATTAGTATATTAAAAATTGCTTTAGTCTGCACCAAAATCTAGGGAAATAAATAGTCGTATACTTAGAATTCTCCGTTAATTAAATCCACTATAACATTGGTGGGGCAATAGACTTTGTTTCCACTATCGATGTCGTTGGTTCACGACTCGGAATCACTCAACATTTATCAATACTAATCATTCTTGTACAGTATTGGCTCTGCCGATGTTTGGCTTAGTAAGTTCCCCACACAGGATATTGAGACATGTTATGTTTTGGATGGAATGGGAAAACCCAGATTTAACCTCATAAAACCCTCTAAGAAATCCTGATCCAAAAGTCTGATCCTGGTTTGCAAACTCGTTAGAATAAACGTGGTGTTTGTACCAAATGTTGTCAAAGCAGATGATTTCTACAAGAGTTTTCATGTTCTAGGCTGCATGTAAAAATCAATTTTATATTCATAAATTTATAATAGTGATCTTTTCCAGTGCGTATATCTTTAAAAAATAGGCCTTTGGGACTAGGTCTCACCATAAGATCTATGGTAATATTTCCTTTATAGAAATACCCATATTTTAACTCACCCGCTCCGTACAGGATGGGCCAATGTACTCCGTTTCTCACAATAGTGTTGAGTTCCCCTATACACGCCAGCACCAGGTCTATCTCAATGGCTTGCTTATGAAATGCATCTGGAAAAGTAAAATAACAACACAATCAATTATGACTTACAAGTTACAATGTGTTTTTAACTCAAATATTCTTTGGTTGAGATGACCATTATAAAACCTGTTCATGTTGGGTGGTAAGAGGTTAGGGCGTAGGTAAGCTGCTCCCCCGTGCCTGGGACACCAGCGAGTGCGTCGTGCAAAATGCTTGTCTTGACTGTACTCTTCCATTCCTAACCTAATCTCTTAATCCCTTCCTTGCGGGTGTAAGTAAACTGTTCTCCCTTGGCTGTTGCATACATTTGATTTATGTTCACTAAACTATTGAGTTACAGACTAGTTAGAGTTCAATTGTGTAATAGAATGTAAGTATGTAAGTACTAAGTTGAGGTAACAAAAAAATTACAGCAACCCATTCAGTTTTCCAAACACTATGGCCCAATGATAGTCTTTAGAAAGTAAAAAAATTGAACACTGCTTAAAATTGTTGAACTTCTGAAATAACCATTATTGCCTTATCAAATTTGTGTTGCTATTGAATAATGCACAAATTAGCATTCCACTTATAATACTTACGTTCAAAAGTTTACGAGTTTTAGGGATATATTTAATAATTGGAAACGTTTTTAAATGGTAAAATGTTGTATTTCCTTGTCTTGTGAAATATTAATGAATAGTCTATATATTCACACCAATCATAAATATAATCAAACGGTCTTTATGATCAATAAAGATCTAAACTATAGAAAAACTCAAACTTAAAAAGCATTGATTTCTTATCAATAAAAAACATCATATTTTTAAATATTTAAATAATTCTTTGAAAATAATTAAACCCTCTTTAACAATAATATACTTAAAAAAATTGAAAACTCATTATAAAAAATAAAATATTGTAGTTAACAATATAGAAATAATATTTTTTTTATATTATAATAAACCCTTGAAAATAATTATACCCTCTTTATAATCAATAATACTAAATGAAAAAATAAAAACTCATTATTAAAAACATATACTAGTTACTGTATCAATATAGGAATAATACCATTTACACGAGTTTCTTGGAATACTTTACCTACGGGACCGGTTTTTAATTACTAATAATCACTAAACCCGACTTCCAGAAGAGGTTGTTTTCGTTTATGTATAATCTCTTATTGCCACTGACAGAGATGCGACGACTCGTTGTACCAATCACTAAATGCACCTATCGTTAACATTTAAATTGGTAAAGAGATGGTTAGTTAAAGTTCGAAGCATTACAATAATTGTTTAACTTTTTTTTAAATTATTTTACTTTTTCTCTTAATCCTTGGCCATCGTCGGTCAAGTAATGTTCCCGTGTGGTTAACAACTAACTGATACATTAACATAACTTACATAACATTTACATAACTACTGATACATAAACTGATACATTACCCGTGCAGTTAACTAAAACTATGATGTTATGTAAGTAAAAAATGCTGTTATGTGAAACTTTTCAATTTTAAGAACAAAACTGTAACGGCATTTAAAAAGACTGTTGTAGGTAAAATATCAAAATAAACTCTTGAAAATGATTAAGGTTTGTCACATGTACGAAGCATGAACGAAGTCCGTCATTTTTTTGCGAATCGCTTGCTAGCAATTTGAACGAAGTATTTCCGCGAAATCGCACCACTCAAATAACGTTCTCTTGCAAGGTTTACTTCGTTTTTTCTCTTCCTGTACTGTTTCCCTCCATTCTCCCGTGGCTTGTCTTGCACACTATTGATCTTAACATACTTGGAATGACACCAGCTCACTCACAAAGGGTAAACACATATAAATATTCTTTAGGTTTAAGCGTTTATCCTAAATAATTGTACCCAGTTCACCATTGCTTTCCAATCGGGAACAGCGCCATGTTGACCAAGGATGGAATGTGGTCCAAACAATCTCTGAGTTTTTGCACAAGAATCACTATTTTTAAAATACGTTTCCACATCAAAATCTCAGTATTAATAGCCTCATGCATAATATTTACTAAAATGGCATAGTTTAAGGGATGTTATAAGCACAGCTGCTCATTCGTTGTTTCAACAATTAACATGTGACATCTAAAACAAATTGTGGCGTTCTCATCGCCTCACCCTGTATAAGGCCTAGGTAAAAAATGTCATTAGTTTTGAAGCTTTCGTAACTGAATTAAAGGAATTCAGTATTCCAATGAATGTTTTTATTTAAAAAGTAATTAGTCTTTGTAATGTACCGAAAAATAACGTTGAAAACAAAAGTGAAAGTGGATAGTTTATTCTCAACCCTATTAAAAAAAATTAAATTACTTCTAAAAACAGTAAAAACAGCCTAACATTCTACTTGAGTTAGGCTACGTGATCCAAAACTTACCGGTCTACCTTCTTGGATCAGACAGAAACCAACCGCATCTTTACTGCTATCTGCATGAATTTCTATGGGCTTACTACAATCAAAAGGTGCCAAAACTGGTGCTGACGTTAATGAAACTTTAAGCTTTTCAATGCAGTCATTATGAATTGGCAGCCATTGCCATTGCACATCTTTCTTTAGCAACTCTCTAAGTGGACCGATAAGACTAGACATATTTGGAATATAATCCCTAAAATAATTAAACGTACCCAGGACTCGTTGGAGTTCTTTCTTACTAGTTGGAGTAGAAAGATTAACTATAGATTCGATGTGACTTTCATCAACACCTATACCTTTAGCTGAAAACACATGACCAACAAACTTTACAGAATTCAATCTAAACTGCAACTTTCTGGGGTTAAACTTAACACCATTCAACCTTGCTTTCTCTAAAACTTTAGCCATTATTGTGTCATGAGCCTCTTCAGAGGGTGCTGCAATTAGTATGTCATCAAAATATACTGTTACACCTTCAATATTGGAAAAAATGCTAGAATTAAGTCTATGAAACAATTGGGGAGCAACTGACAAGCCAAATGGCAATCTTGTAAAAGAATAACACCCAAACGGTGAACTGAAAGAACAAATATCCGCTGACTCTTTGTCTAGACTTACATGGAAAAACCCATCTTTTAAATCAAGAACGCTGAAACAAGTCTTACCAGTTAAGTTAGTCTTAATTTCATCCATTGTAGGTATCAAATATGGCTCAGGTTTGATATCTTGATTTAGAACCTGAGGATCTAAGCAAAGCGTAAGTGACTTGTCAGGCTTTTCAACTATTACCAAATTGCTCACATAGCTACTAGGACTATTATTTTTACAAATGATTCCTAATTGTTCAAGATTATCCAAAGTTTCTTTAAGTTTACTCAAGACTGCATTGGGAACTCTACGTGGCGGTTTTACAATAGGATTAGCATTTTCTTTAAGTTTAATTTTGTACTCTGTAGGGAAACACCCAATACCATTAAACACATCATTATGTTTACTAATGAACTCTTCCCTAGAGGTTACCTGCACATTATGTACTCTAGATATTAGTCCTAATTTTACACAAGTTTTAAGTCCCAAAATTGGTATACACTTATCATTCGAACTTATTACAACAAATTCCTCTGTAGTTACTAGGCCAACCTTGTTCAATTCACATTTCAACGTTACTTTACCAACAGTATCTAGCCTAAACCCACCATAAGATTCAAGTTTAACATTACAGTTTTCATCAACAAATGGCTTAGGTTTACACTTGTTTAAAATATCAAGGGGTATTAAGTTAATTTCAGCCCCAGTGTCAAGCTTAAACACCACATTAACACCATTAATGGAAATTGTTTCTAACCAACAATTTTGACCTGCAATTTCACAAACATTTTTGATATTTACATCATCAATTCGAAACCCAGAGCTCAACTCGTCTACATGAATTTCTTCTTGCGATCTGGCATTAGGCCTATTATCTGCAAGCGATCTGGCATTAGGCCTGTTATCTGCAACCTTAGGGTTGTGTTTGTTAAACTTATTTTTCGGCTTAAGGCAACCTACGGCAAAGTGATTTAGCTCACCACAATTTAAACACTTTTTGTTGTGTGCGGGACAAGCAGCCCTAGCATGATTAGTATTACACTTTTTGCACAAATACGTACGGTTGAAAGTAGGGTTTTTACTAGGCCTACCTTGTTTACCTCGATAGTGTTCAACAGCATGCACCATTTCTTCTTTCACTTCACTCTTAACCACTGGCGTGAGGGAATTTAAGTCACTTGACATCGGCATGGAATTAATTTTATCTTTACTAACAACTTGAAATTGTTCTTTACTTTGCTCGGCCAACTGGCAATGTTTGATAGCATCTGAGAGTTTAAGATCAGGGACCCGCAAAAGTCTTTCTTGCAATCCTTCATCTGATATACATAGTACTAGTTTATCTCTAATGAGACTATCTTCTTGGCCTTCAAAATTACAATACGATGCAAGTTTTTTCACATCAGTTAAGAAGTTAATGAAAGGTTCACCTTCTTTTTGAACTCTTTTGAAGAAAAGAAATCTTTGATAGGTTATATTACGAGTCGGGGAAAAATGTTTGTCAAACTCCCTAATCACATCCTCAAGTTTTAAACTTTTTAAATCACCCAACTTAAAAGTATGATATATGCTTAAGGCTTCTCTTCCAATTACGTTCAGCAATTGTGCAATTTTCACTTCCTCAGATTTAGAGTCTGATTCGGTGGCTATTAAAAATAGCTTAAACTGCTCCTTAAATAGAACCCAGTCCTGAGCAACATTATCTGAAATTAATAAACAGTCTGGTGGCTTGAAGAGCCCGGACATCGCCATTTTCCTTACTGCAATCGCACACCAAGCCTACCTTACCTTTCACATCCAGTTACGGAATTATTACTTTATATTTCACATTATCTTCACCCACTTGCTTTAAATTTGACTGCGCCATGTTGTGTGTCCTTATGGTTATTATTGTAGCAAGTGGGGCTTAATTAAAACTTCACATATTAATATAACATACATTTATTAGGAGCTCTATTAAAGATTTTACAATTCGGTTCGAAGTCCATTTTGCAGAGAGCGAGTCTCCTTCTTAATCAAAGTGAGCTGGTGCTACCAGTGCTGCCAACATAGCACTTTCAAACTAAACTAACAAAACTTTACTTTTTATATATAACAAAACAACTCACAACAATAAGCACAGCTGCTCATTCGTTGTTTCAACAATTAACATGTGACATCTAAAACAAATTGTGGCGTTCTCATCGCCTCACCCTGTATAAGGCCTAGGTAAAAAATGTCATTAGTTTTGAAGCTTTCGTAACTGAATTAAAGGAATTCAGTATTCCAATGAATGTTTTTATTTAAAAAGTAATTAGTCTTTGTAGTGTACCGAAAAATAACGTTGAAAACAAAAGTGAAAGTGGATAGTTTATTCTCAACCCTATTAAAAAAAATTAAATTACTTCTAAAAACAGTTTGCTACAGAAACTTTACATGGCCTAGGTAAGATGTAATTATTATGTAAAACAAATGGTGATGAAAATCACCCCAAAACTCCCACCGCGGGCATGGTTTCGGTGTGGCATGGCTCAAAAACCAAATTTGATAACGCACTATATTTGCGTAGTGGTACGACAATCATTGTAGCATAGTGTTTGGAAACTAGAATGGGTTGCTGTAATTTATTTGTTTATTTATTTAATTTTTTATTATATTTATTTATTTAATTTATATTTTACCTCAACTTATTACTTACTTACATTCTATTACACAATTTTAACTCTTAACTAGTCTGTAACTCAATAGTTTAGTGAACATAAATCAAATGTATGCAACAGCCAAGGGAGAACAGTTTACTCACACCCGCAAGGAAGGGATTAAGAGATTAGGTCAGGAATGGAAGAGTACAGTCAAGACAAACATTTTGCACGATGCACTCGCTGGCGTCCCAGGCACGGGGGAGCAGCTTACCACCTCCCAGAGGTTAAAAAACTCTTTTTCATAGACATTTTTATAATTTTTTTTGCTACAACAATTACAGAATTGTTTCAGTATTATGAAATCCCTAAAATCAATAGCGGTTGCAAAAGACATATGCTAGGTTTTTGTATTCCTAAAAAATTTGCTGTCACTGGAATGCTGGGAATAGAAACACGATGTTGATCATAGCAGGCTAAATTTGTTTTGCCAACTCGTAATCGTAAACTGTAATTTATCAGTGTACTCATAAACATTTTTAGATCTGTTTAAATATAGGTCAGCCTTATGACCAATGGACAAAGTATGGTTCTAAATTAGTTAATTGCAATACTAAAAATAAAACACCTGATACAAACAGCATATCTATTACAGTTTTGTGTGAATTCGTAAAAAACTCAGAAATAAAATGCATAGCTATTACAGAGGTAGGACTTTTAATGAGGACAACGTCTAATAAATGGTTCAACTGATCATATTACACGGTACATGACATAAAAACATCACTTTTGTTTTTAAAATGGATTACTTTTGGCACTTTTTTAATTTTATAAACCCCTTTTTTACTGTAGTGGGTTGAAATGTATGTATGTACTCTACCCAAACAATTATTATTCTTTAATTTCAACCGATTCTGTTCCAAGTTTATTTATTACAGGTATTTAATAACGATAATGCATTAAGTTTAGTTGGTTCAAATTTTATGAAATGGCAGAGTTAAAATCTACCCTAGCATTTTAAATCTTATAAAAACCTAGCACAAGTTTTTGCTCAACTCTGGCTATTAAAGATAAGACTTTGCAGCTTGCTCAATGATTACGATATCAGTAACTGCTTATTTATAACTGAAAAACATTTCAGATTAATTGGTCTGGTTTGGACTTAGCACAACTGATATACTTGTTACATCAGTTTCTTATACTTCATTGACAACTAAAAAATATAGATAAAAACTTAGCTGAAGAAGCTATGCTCATTACCGTGTATGGAAAAGAATAAATGTAAATGTTTTAAAAATTTAAATTATGAACAATGTCAGTTTATTTGTTCATCTCATGAAACGGAACCTTAACAAGATCGGGTGTTTCAAAAAGGACTTTATAACTTTCAAAATTAATATAAATTTAATAAAACAAGGTACAGAGCTGGTTTCTGGTGTTGTTTTAAAGTAAACACTTTAAGTTTTTTTAGCATAAACTAAAGATTTTCTATGTGGCTTCTTTTGGATATCCTGCGGAAATCCCATCGGTAGTCGATTTCTTCCCAGACTCGCACTAGCATTTCAGGTGTAACTTGCTCAGCGGCAGCATCGATTCATGCTCTAAGTTGTGGGAATAACCCACATCACCACCAACAATTAAAGAATAAGGTAAGAGTCAACCCCATCAGCTGATCTGATGACAAGCAGAACTGTAGTCAGACACCTGCGACACTAGCGCTACTGCCGGGAAACAAGGAACGGACCGGCCTGCAGGTTGGTCTTGGCGGAACCGTGATATGGAAAGGAGCTAGGAGCTAAGTTGTCTTTGTTTGGTAAAGTACCGTAGCCATAATGTATTATTAGTTAATTAATCTTTGGGGGATAAAGGGGTTAGGGGGAATCGTATCTTTTCTAAACTAGGCCAAGTTCAACCAACAATAAATTAACTGACGTAACTAAATTATACTTTACAATTATCGATATCATGTTTAGGGCAAGTTGCTGCAGGCGTGTCACAATGGCGAGGAGTAGTTAGAATAAAATAAAATGTAGTTAATCTATTTATTTGAGACCTATCAAAACTGGCTTAGGCTGAGCAGGGTTTTCGTGAGTGCTATGGGGAAGTGGAATCAGCACGTTATTCATTAAGTGTGGATCTGGCTTGGTTTATTCCAGTCAAGACCCCACAAAGTTCGGGTAGAGTGGCCGTCCGAGGTACACTTTATCTTTCATGAAACTCCATAAGAAAAAATCTAGCGGTGTCAGGTCAGGGGAACGGAGGACCATGCAATTGACGCATCACCTGGAAAGTGATCATTGTGAAATCCTGGACGTCAGTCAGATAGTGTGGTGGTGCGCGATCTCGCATGAAGTAAACATTTCGTTCTCAGTCGTCCTCATCAATCTGTGGTATACAAAATTGTTGCGACATGTCAAGGTACACTATCCCGCTGATTCTCTCTTGGAATGAAGGGGCATACATTTTCCTCTTGCTCAATGCACAAAAAACGTCCACTTTAGGGCTATTACAAACATGTTGCAAATGTTTCATTTGGATTTTCACTGCCCCAAAAGATCTTATTTGGTACAAAAATTACGCTGAACTGTTGTCGCCGATTTCGATTCTTCAAACCAAAAGACACAGCTAGATCGCTCATATCCAGTGAACATAGCCATTTTTAATGTAACTGCCGCTAGCGATTGTGTGACTTATGCGGCGTAATTATTCACTGGTAAATTACGCGAGGTGTCTCCCTTTAAAACAACTCCAATACCAGCTCTTACCTTGTTTTCATGAATTTTATATGAATTTTCAAAGTTGTTAAGTCTTTTTTGAAACATTCTGTATTATACAAAAAATTCAAAAGTAATTTTATTTACTGTTTTTCTAGTTGTATAGGATACATTTATCAGTAAAATACGTTTTTCAACAACTAACTGAATTGAATTGATTGATAGGTAGAACTTCGTGCACTCACTGTTTGTGTCCAGAAAATTATTTTTGGATTTTTCTGTTCAAAATATGAGGCAAATAAAAAAAATGATTGAATTACTGATAATCTATGGTGTGTGAAATGTTAAATAAATGACTAAATACATACGCATGAGGTTGTAGAAGAGCTCCTCCGAATAGTTGTGTGAGTCCGAGAACCCACCAACCAGGGACAGCTCGTACCTTCCCTCCGAGTAGCCTGACATGGCCAACTCTTGTACCCTGTGTACCATGTTGAGAACTCCCTCCTCTGTACCTGCACCATCAAAGTGTGCCAACCCGACAGCACCAGACCCTGGACATTGGAGAAAACTATAAGCTACTTTATGAGGTAGAAAATATTAACTTCAATAACTGATTATGGTTAAAAAAATCTTAGACATTCTGGTACAAGGGTCATTAAAAAGCTCAAGTGACAGCCGAACAACTTCGGTTTGAGACAGCCTAAGGTGGTTGGTTCCGTTTCCGAAGCTAGACATTGTTCACCAGTGCAGCGGCCAGTCGTTTGATAATGCTTAACTAAGATTACACCAGAGAACTAGGGTGCCCCAATAGCATTAGTCATTTTCTTTAAAGGCAAGGAAGCCGAGTGTGGAGCAATTTTCTACTCATCCAGTGACAGACCGCTCAGCATCTAGGAAAACAGTACAATTAAATTACCATCTTTTAGTATTTCCTTATCTACCTGGTTACAAAAAAATCATCCTTCAACCGCTTTCCTCCAGTCATTACAAAACACCTTGTTCTTATTTATGCAGGAGGTACATTTCAGCCTCACTTAAGACTTATATCACAGGTAAGAGACGTAATACTTGTATTACTATAAAACTATTACTTATCATCTGTACTTCTCCTGTTCTGAACTCAAAAGACCACTGAGAATCATGTTTGTAATAATTTTAAATCTGTTTTTCCAGACAAATTTTTTCTAGGAAATATTCTTTAGCATAATTTGATTTTCTTAACACGTTCGCGGCGGCATCCATACGGAACCCTAATGCCATCCTGGTGGGAACGATCGCTCCCAAGCTGCAATGCAGTGCGAAATGATTTTTCTTTAAGCCAGGATTAGAGCTAGAAACTTGAAACCTCGCACAGCACTGCTCAATAGTATACTGTATTTTTTGTGGTGTAAGTTGGTAGTAAATTTCCCCGTAAAATCCCTGTCTGACAATCCCAAAAACGTACTTTTTGTCCTGTCTTTTGCCCTCCATTTGGCAATACAATTCCAATGGGACCGGCTAAGTTCCAAGCAGTGCTGCTATCTGTGGGTGTTTAGCGAACTACGTTGACTCTTGTTGTAAAACAGGACATCCTCGCACGTTATTTGCTATACGTCAGACCGAAAATGGAAAGCCAATCACACGCCGCAATTGGGTTTGTTCGACGCTGAGGGCCGCGCCACACTGGGGATACGCCCGCCATTTGACGTGCCGCCGTGAACGTGTTAAACAATCACAAAGTGGTTAATGGGTGTAAACATATTTTGATCACACAAATGAAATAAATAAATTTACCTGTATGCCTCAGGATGGCTATTATACATGTTGTGACATCGTCTGATCCAACAATTGTGACGTTTTCTGGAACAAAGCAAACTAAGTCAAAAACAATTTTAATATTTGAAAACACTTTAAGACTGACATGTATTGGGCTGACCACCTACGTATTTATACTTGTACAGTAACTGATATATTTTTTTGCAAATTTTTCCATATAAGAAATAAGCTATTAGTCTTAAAGTAAAACTCAGACCCCATAGTCTCTGTTGGACCTATGTTTCTGACTATTTTCTACTAGGGTTGCCTGTAAATTTTGGTTTCTGATGGAGTCTCCCATTGCGACCAAGCAGAAATCTGATAAACCATCTTCTTTACTTCAACCACACCTATACAAGCTGGTTTCCAATCATAAGAGATGTTAAGTCTTGTCATAGTAGCCGAACAGCCAAACACCAGTGTGAACAAAAAATTGACACTCTCGCCAAGAATCAGTTGTGTAGTACGATTAAACTTCTGCGGTCTAAAGCTTCTACTGCTATTGAAGTATATTTGGATGGAGAGAATTGTTAGGAGGTATAAAATACTGTATGCGCAGGGGGTCAAGGGAGATCGGAGAAGGTTATACGCACTTGCACAATGTTTTTCACTATAGGTAGGTCGATTGCAGACTTAGTCAGCCTCCTATGAGGCAAATTAAGGAAATTTTGCAGGCTTATCATGGTGTGACTGATGAAGAGATTGCTAAGCTGATAGAGGACGTCTCTGCGACTACCAAAGACAATAGTAAACCTTGGTGTCCTATAGATTGATCAACAAGCAAATTTCATCAACTGGATTGGCTGACTTGATAGAAACTGACGAACCCTTGCTGGGTTAGTAACTTCAATATGGGTTGATCCCTGATTTTTTAAAAACAAACCCCCAGTTTTAGCTAGAGTTATACTTACTGTCCTGCGGAACCGTGACTGCCATTTCCCTCTGCTGGACGTACAACAGGCCGACCGGTCCGATCACCTTGGTGCTGATGGACACAAACTGGGCAGCAGAGTCTCTGTATACAGGGTGTGTCAGAAACAGACTGCGAGTGTCTGGCGGAGGCTCCTCCTGCCCCACTCCGCTTATGACCAACACCATCCTGCGAACACAAGTTCAATTTTAAAATTATTCAAACCTTGGGATACATCCATGATTTATGGGTTTATTTCCTCACAATGTATTAAGTATGTCAACAAAATACCTCTGAAGGCACAGGATGTAGTAAATAGGTAGTGGATTTATTGCTAACCAAATTGTTTGCTAACCTTTGGTGCAAGGGAAAATTTTGTTTTGAGAATGATCACTTCAAGGAATTATAATATAGCTAAACTTTGCAGCGGATTCAACTTAGTTTTAATAGGTATTTCAAAATAAGTCTTTGTCGTCCCAAATTCCACTTAAAACATTTTCTAAATTTGTGGTGAAATGCTATAATTTGGGTTGTTTAGACTTGCACTCCACACTCCAGAGTTGCACTCAATATCTAGCGCTGCCCCCAAAATATTCACATTAATATTTATAATTGCACTCACTAAACATGATTGCACTTCATTGAGTTAACCAATATTTAGAAATGAGAAAATATTAGAGTAACACCCAACATTGAGTTTATACAATATCCAGAGTTCACCCCGAATTTAAAATTACTTTCAAGGAGCAACTTGTAAAGTACGACATGTAATAAATCTAAATACAAATTGTAGAATACTCCAACCACACTTGTAGACCAGCCACGTGCTAACAATGAAGCTTTGTAGCAGTCTCCAGCTGGTTATAATGTCATTATCCCTAATATCCCCCCTCTACCCCCCCTTCACTCCTTCCCTCTCTTTATTCATCTTTGACTTTTGTACTGTCTGCAATCTTCCTATCACTTGTCACTATTGAACAATTAAACGGCCACGAGGAAATAAGAAGTATCGAGTTCTTCATTTTGTTGAGATTTGAGATGAGTGGAAATTTATCTACCTTACGATAACGGTATTAAGTTTTATACAACTTAAAGAATACACTTGTAGTTAAGTGTACACTTTAGAATATCACACACGTTTCCTTATTTTGATTCCTTACATAATTCCAATTCCGTATACAAATATGAGAACTTCGCCAAGGTATTCATATTAGAATTTCCGTTCAAAATTCAGTTGTCAATTTGTTTATTGTTCATTTTTACGTACTTCTTTTCGTGCTTAGCAACTTTTGTACGAAAAAACTCCTATGAGAAAATAAAACAAGGAATACTCCTTATGTATTTTAATCCCTCTCACAATTTCACCTCGATCGTACACTCCGAAAAAAAAACTACTACGAATTCATCAAACATTTAACATTCAAAATGCTATACATTTTTGAAAACGTCTCTTTCACAGTCTGGACTAAAACCAAGAACAAATTTCTGGAGACAAAAACCAAGGACACTTTGAAAGAACACGTGTCCATGTTTTGGCGTTGGGCAGCTCAGACTCCCCAAATAAATCACTCTCCCCCAAGAATGCCCCAAAAACGTTAACGAGGGGTGGTTATCTAACTAATCACCTTAGGCTTATCAACCCGTTATCTCAATAACGGCCACATGGGTAGTGATAAGCATCAATGTTTACAAAACAAAAAATTAAACTAATCCTATGTATTAAATGGAGGGAGTTTTTGCTCCAAAATTCGTAGGTTAGGTATTTATTGAGAATCACAAATTAATGAGCTCATCAGCTGATATTTTGTCAAAACCTCAATCAGCTGCAACATAAATTAAAGATGAAAAATTGGTGGGGGAACTTCCACTAAAACCACCTGATATGACGAGTTTCAATGCTCAACATTTTAACGAGTTGAGGTTCCATTTATGCAAGATAACAATCTAACAGCTGTTCGCCAAAGGCTCACAAGTTGTACAATCGCAAAAGTAGGACTACCGTCGAATATATCAAGAGCATTTACATAGAAATGTGTTCTATAGATCTGTTGCGAATGATAGAGCGCAAGACTTATATTGTGGATTATGTAATAGGTTTTCAATCTTAAAGTGTAAGATTTTACAGGGTATTCTAATTAGCGACACTATGATTTATTTCACAACGTTGAGAGTATTGTAAAGATTTAAATAATGTCTACGTTCGCTATCTCTGGCTAATATAACACAAATTTTAAATTCAAACAGATTTAATTATTTTTTAAAAATATACGGTAGTTTGGAAGTTAACAAAAGTATTAACAACATTTGTGACAATTTTGGTTCAAAACTTTTGTGAATAAGTAATACTCCTTCACTTATTATTGTTTTTATAAATTGCGTGTGGAAACTACATGTCTAACCTAAATAGAGAAACGCAGAATTTATATCAGTGGCTGTCTAAAACTAAAAAGTTATGATTTATAAGTAAGTGTTTCTGTTTACGTGATTTTCTCTTAATCCAGCCCACCTAGGTCTTACCACAGAAAACGTACTACTATAACCGTTATAGTAGTACGTTTTCTGTGGTCTTACCGAGGAGCCTACGATAATAGCGTATTCCATTGGAAAATTCTGTAGTACATAAAATATCTTATGCGTTTTCTGTAAGCCATGAAAATAACTAAAAGACTTTTTGAAAAACTAAAAGACTAAAAGTGTTGAGAGTTTTTCAGGACAAAGAAATGTCTCCTCTAACGAGCAATTGTTTGTACAATTTACCATTTTAGTGTACGGCAGGATTCGAACTCGTGCATCTTCAACAAAAACCACACTCACCACACACCAGCCTCCATAACAATTAAAGATCATTTCATTTCACCGCAAGCACAAGGCAGACAACTTTCTACGAATTCTCCGGGTAGATTTACGTTAAGCACAACATACAACGGTGTTAATACTGTATTGCAGTGATAAAAGGCAAGGAATGTACTTGAATTTAATACGTTCGCTACACGAAATGTCAGCGAGCAAGTCCGGTTGTACCGTACGACCATTCGGTTCCTTGTATGGAAATAGCAGTTTATAACATAGGACAGTGAAATAACCTATCACCGAGAACCTACCTTTTTGTAAAATTATTGAAGAAAATTGCTAATCTAAAATATTATGATCTTTATCGTTATCATACAACGTGCATAGCGCTTGTGTTTGCTTGCTGCGCAATTTAGCTTATTTTAGTTCAACACACAAAAATAGGTATTTTCCCTTTTATCTTGATGTTATGTATCTTCCCCATACATAGACGATTAAATAGTCTTGTGGAAAATATTTTCCTATTGATTATTATTATTTTGCAAAAACTGATGTATTTACTTAAGGAAACGTACACAGTATCATGATTTTAGAATCTTTAATAATGAAAATTTGCTTGTGTTTTTACTAATGCTAAGCGCAACATGTTACAAATTTGAGTTAAAATTTTACTCAACAGTAGATAATAAGTAAAATAGGTATATTCAAATCTCCCTCACGGGGTCATCGGAAAATTCAAAATGGAGCGTTTAAAAATATCGAAATGTCTTCATGGCAACATAAGATAAATACAGTATAAAGTTCATATTTACTCAATTCACATTTTACTTTGTTTAAAAGAGATGTTGGTATGAAAAAAGAATTCCACTGAACGTGTTCAGAGAAACGGACTTTTTTACTGACGAGGATTTTTGAGTTTCCTAAGAAATAACAGTTTTTAGCCAGTCAAAATCCTCTAATTTTAAAAACACCCCCAGCCACAGCAAACCTGCAGACTAAGCGAATTTCCATCTGTCTGAATTGGATTTTCACTAAAATGCTTCATTAATATCACATTTATTTCCTAAGTACTCAGGTTTGCTGCTACAGGAAAACCATGAGACCTACATCAATAGCTATTCCCTATAGGGGGAAATCATTACATTACAAATTGTTAAGTATATTTATGTTATTCTATAGTAAACATCACAGAAGCTTTTTCAAGAACGCCGCACCACAACTAGCAACTGAACTTCGATCTTCAAGTGATTTGTAAAATTACAAAGTGCACACATAGTCTGTTGACCTATCATTATAGTGACCAGTAGTTGGTTATAACTGCATCATAACGGTAATGTGGAGATTCGTTCTATTCGTAATTTTGATTGTTAATTTGACATCAATAGTTAGAAATTGTCTAGGTAGCAGACTGGTTATAGTGCTCGCCTTCAAGTCTGAAGATAGCCGGTTCGATTCCAAACAGATGCAATAACTGCGGCTTAACTGCACTTAAATGCAATGCCATACCTAGTGTTTTACTGGTGTATACATTGAGCCCTTTAAGAAATTCAAAAATTAAAACCGAAACTATTACCGAACACAACACAGAAACAAAATAATGCAAAAATAGGAAACACCTTGTATTTTGTCTCCCTTTCGATTTTCGGAGGTAAATTTCAATTATGACCCAGCTGAACTTGATAATTTTTGTAATGGCCCGGTAAGGAAACAGCTGGTAGTCAGTTACAAAGCAACAAATCAACAATAATTAAGTTGGTTCTCATCTTAATTATTGAGAGAAAATTACTTCATAATAAAAATCAGTTGGTGGAGGACAACTGACTTACTTCAAAACATCGAGACGTATTATGGGACGAAAGTTTAACAAGTTTAGCAGTTTGATTCGTGAATCTCGTCCAAGAGACCTTGGGGTTCGATACTGTTACGTAAGATGGAAAAACAAGCTATCTAAAGTGGCTATTAGACGGTACATTACACGTAGAGATCCATCATGCAGATCTCATCTGAGAGCATCGAACTTGGCAAACCTACAAGATTATACATGAGGATGAGAGGTTGTATTTTAGAGAAACAATACCTTAGGGGGACACAATATGCATTGTAAAAGGCATATTTATGATAAGAGCACTTAGGTCCACTGTTTCAGATGATGTAATTATTTGTATATATTATGGCCACATTCATAGCTATTTATCCTATGGTACCACACTGTGGGCCAACAGTTTTTATGCTAACAGGTTGCTTTTTACTTTACAAAAGAAGGCGGTGAGGTTAATTTGTAGTGTGAATAGAAGAAACCATTGTAAGCCCCTTTTCGTGAGTCTTAACATTCTCACATTTCCATCCATGTATGTTTTGGCAAGTTTATTGTATGTAAAAGAAAACATTTCTCACTTTGA